ATATATATCAATAATAATAATAATAATAATAAAATTTCCAGGTGGTGGTTGTGGTGGTGGGAGGGATGGATATGAATCTCCTAAAGTGATGGAATGAATTATTGGGAATCAGATCTCCAAAAGAGACTTCACAATTTGACAACTCTTTTCGATTTTTGATAGTGCATGCCACAATAATAATAATAATAATAATAAACGTGGGATGTTTGCAATGGTCTTGTTAGATTTGATCTTTTGATATGGATCTTGTTAGATTTTATTATTATTATTATTACTCAGTCCGTCTCATAAGTAAATATTTATTTATTTTTTGTACGTAGTTTTAAAAATATTAGTATTATATTGAGATATAGTAGGAATAAAATAGAAATGACTAAAATAACCTTATTAGTATATGTGATATAAAGGTAATATATTGTAAGTTGTAAGGGTATTTGTAATGTTAAGTAGATAGTACAGTTACTAAAAAAAATAAAATGAATACTTTTTGTTATGAGATGAACTAAAATATAAAAATTGATACTCTGTTATGGGATGGATGGAGTATTATTTTTATTATTATTATTTTTTACAATGTAGATTTAATTATTTTGGTGTTTTATATATATGGTTTGGCTTTGATTTGAGTTAAAATATTTATTTAAATAGTATTTTGATATAACTTTTTGTGAGAGAAAATAATGAGTTTGTTTGTTTTGTCTTTTTTGGATTGACATATACTTCTATATTTTATGTTAGATATAAATACTTGTGTTTATAATATAAAAAATAATATTTTATATTTTATATTATTTTATTTGTAAGTTGGTGGAATATATATATTATATTTTACAAACATACTATTTCAGGTGCGTGACATACCACCGCTGTTAAATCCTAACGGGGGATTTTTTTGCAAAATTTTGAAAAGCACGAGGAATTTTCAGCAAATTCGGGAAACCACATGGAATTTTTTTTGCTATTTCGCATTTTCTATTATACTCTTCCAATCTCAATTCAATGAGGTCATTTGGGATTTCGTAGTACATTAAGAAATAATAATATTTTATTAATTAATAAAAGTGTATAATTTTTTTTTGATATTTTTGTCATTTGACTTTATATTTGAAGTAATTGTATGTGTAATAGTATGTTTGTAATTAAATAAAAGTTAAACGTATTTTGATATTAGTATAAGATTATTGGAAATAGATATTTTGAAGTAGGATAGACAAAAATGATAAAAATAATATTTTGAATTGAAACAGAGAGAATAATAAGAGTAATCATATACAAATACTGAAATACTCATAATTTTTACAAAAAGTATTATTTTTTCTTTTGTATTTATGGTGATAGGTAAAAAGACTATTCTCTCTTGTAAACCAATGGAGTTCCCACATCATATTCAATTTAGAATAATATTCAACAATTTATAAAGACAAAAAATCAAAAAATATTTGACAATTAACTGATAATCGTTAGGTAATTCAATTTGTTACTGTATTAAAGTAGTTATAAGTTGGATCGAATATTTGTACATTTTATTCATCAAATAGTCTTTCAATATTGAACTCTTTTGAATTTGTTTTTCAATCCTTTATTGTATGATCTCACTGATATAATATATATATATATTATTCTACTTCATCCGTCCGTCTATTAGATTTCATTTACCTTTTGCATCATTATATTTAATATTAAAAATATTCTTATATTTGTATATTTTTTATACAAATGTTCTTTTATTAATATTATAAGACACTGATAGAAATATTTTTGCAATATTTTTCTTAATGTGTACTACGTTTTGATATACAATAATTAATATTTAAAGATTAAATACAATAAATAAATAAAACACTTAGAACCGAACAGAGGTAATACAAATTATTTTTACTAACGACAAAAATATATAATCCATTAAATTGGAAACGAAAAATACTTATGTATTTATTTTGTAAAATTGTTTAAAATAATATATATATTTTTATATATGAATTATAAAAAATTATTTAAATAATATAAAAAAATAAATATATTAAAATATATTTATTTTTTAAAAAAAGTTATATGAAAGTATATTTTGACCAAACAAACAAACCCCAGTTTTACAAAACAGTGAAAAATAAAGAACCTTGATTAGGGCTGGAAGTCAAAAGACTAGGAGGGGGCTACTGCCTATTCGGGCTAAGAGCGCCACGTGTCTCCACGTGTACAACTGTTTATTACAGAGAATCTCATATGTAGGCCCCACAAAGATCGACCCTACCCCACATGACTCTCAACTCTGGTTGTCCGACGTGGAACATCATGGATGTGTTATTTCTGTTCGCACTATATTCCAATTTTCAATTTTTATTTATTTATTTATTTTTACCAATAATACATGATACGAGACATACTGATATTATTTTATTTTATTTTTTTAATTTTATCCTTATTTTATACTCTTTTTGTTTCGAAAAAATTGTCTATGCGATTATCAATACGTAATTAATAAGTAATTAAAAATTGTATTAATATAAAATATTTATATATTAAAATTAAAGTAAGTAAATAATTTAAATAAAAAAATTATAAATTATAAAATTTAAAATACAATTAAATATATAACTATATTTTCAAGAAAAATGACAAATTTATGTTTAACGAACAAAAATAGAAAATGTGAATAATTTATGTGGGACAGAGAAAATACTATCTTTATCTTGTACTATCTCTGTCCCCCATACAATGTCCAAGTTGTCGTTTCTGTCTTGTCCCACGTTCCATGTCATTTTTGAAAAATAATTACACACTTTAATTTTATTTTAAATTTTTTAATTTATTTTTTTAAAATTTTAATTAAACTAATTAGTTATCTTAATCTTAATTTATAATTATTTATATTATAAGATAATTATTTTCATTAATATATTTTTAATTATCTACTTATTATACCCCTCTTAAAATACCGTGTCTACAGTGTAGCAGACACGGTATATGGGACGGAGGGAGTATAATTTATTTTATATTTTTATTTTCGTATGTTTTAAATAATTTATTTATTTTTTTTAAAAAACAATTATTCACTTTTATCGTATTTTAAACTTTATAATCTATAATTTTCTTAATTAATTATTTTAATATATAATTTTTTTACTATTACTTTTTTAATTATTTACAATTATACTCTTATTTAGATTCAACGGAGGGAAGAAATAAATATATATAAATATATTTATTATTTTATTTTTTTATAAAATTAATTATAGTATCTAAAAATTTATTTTAGATATAATAACAATATTATATATTTTATTTAAATGGAATTTTAAAATATTTAAACATATTTCAATTTATTTAAATTATGTATAGATTATACATAAATAAAATATTAATTAAAAAAAATTAAGTTTTAGGTCAGCTTTCAATTTTTAACTCAAAACTTTGAATTTAAAATTCAACAATAACGAAAATATACTACTTGGTAATTAATATCAAGGTCAAGTAATATATATATATATATATATGATATATAAATATATATTCCTTTCGTCCCACTCTAAATATTTCATTTATTTTTTGTATTATTATACTTAACATTAAAAATATTTTTATATTTGTATAATTTTTTGAACAAATATTATTATAATAGTATTATAAGACACTAATAGAAATATTTTTGTTATTCTTCTTTAATTTATTCTACGTTTTCATATAATAATTAATACTCAAATATCAACTCGCAAAAAATAAATGAGACCCTCAGAGCCGAACGAATATAGTATAATATATGTATATATACACATTATATTATAATATATTTATTAAGCCAATCAGATATTTTTCAAAAATATCTAACTTTATGATCGATAAGGAATAATCTGGTGATGTGGGGAGTGAACTTATGATCGTTAAGCGATGAGTTCAAACCCGAGCCTCCAGATTCACACATGATTGTCTTTTATAAAAAATAAAAAAATAAAAAATCTTTATTTAGTATAAAATATTAATTTTTATATTATCAATACAATTTCTTATATTATGAATTGCAAAAACACATCAAACAAAATGTATTAAATAATAATCACAATAATAATAGTTAAATGATTGAGTTTATTTATTTTTAAATAAATTATTTAAAGAAGTGTGTTTTTGGCGTGCAAGTAAACCTTGATTAGCGAGTAATTTCTACAAATAACTTCCCATTTCCAGAAATAACCAAAATAAATAAATAAATAAATAAAAATAATACTCCAACTTAATAACTACTGAAATGAAGGGTAGTGATCTTTCCAGATAAAACAGATAATTAAATTAAATTATAATTGAAGAACATTTTAGAAGATGAATTCAAGGTAAAGGTAAATTTGTCGGCACGAAGAATAGTCATAAATTTGTTTTCCATAATTAATTAATTAAATTATTTAATTGTCTGTCTGATTTCCACAAGACATCAGCCACCTGCACAATAATGGATTAATCACTCACCTCCTCAGGTCTGATGGCGTAGGGGTTGAATTTGTTAGCATGAGATCATCCGTCCACTTAAAAATATCTATTTTTTATTATAGTAAAAATAATTATATATTAATATCAAAATATTTTTTAATTTTTACATAATTACAAATACCATTATATATATAATTAATTATACATAAAATATTAGAAGATGAAAATGTTAAATTTATCTTATATTCTTATACTAATTAATAAAATATTATTATAAAAATATTATTCAAATTAAAATATAAATTTAACAATTGCTTCAACATAAATTACAAATACAGAAACCAAAATACTGACTTTCCAATGTATAAAAAAACCCAAACAACATTCTCCAATAATTTTCCCAACGAGAACACGCCTCGATTGATTATCGACCTCCAAATTCAGTGACACATGTCCCTCACGTGACCCCACTCTCTACTCTACATGGATCCACTATCTTCTTCTTCTTCATCAAACCTCTGGATCTATATCTATCTATCTATCCATATATATATGCAATTAATGATCGAGGACTGCTAATTAATATGGCATTTATGATGGACAACCTCAACTTGTCCGAACATTTCACGCCCATAATTTCCCTCTTCTTCATCGTTGTTGTCGTCATCATCGTCATCCTCGTATTTGCACGAAGAAGATTTATTAATAACGGTCAGAAAGACCATCTCCCTCCAGGCTCCCTCGGCTGGCCGTACATCGGAGAAACCCTTCAGCTCTACACACAACACCCAAACACCTTTCTCTCCACCCGACAACACAGGTTCGTACGTGGATCGGTTAAATAAATCTTGCAAAAAAAAAAGAATAATGGATATATATATATATATATATAGTTTCTCTTACCGTGTTGAATGAGAGTTAATAAGTACAATGCTGATTATTCCAAAAATCACGTTAAAATATTTTACAATTAGGCCATTTTCAACCAATCAATTCTATTTACGCAGTTTTAACTTTAAATATACAGTTACTACAGTAATTTTACTCTAACCATAACTCTATTTTTCACTGTTATTCTTCAAATATTTAATTTTTCATATTATTTTAAACAACATTGTATTTTTATAATTTAAAATAATTTTTTTAACAAATTTTAAAAAATAAAAAATAAATTTTAAAAATTAAAAAAAAAAAAGAAGCAGCGCCATTTTTTGGGGTTGCTATAGTGCAACAACTGGATCCAACCCAGCGCCATTAATGGAGCTGGATTGGAGATGCCCTTGTAGATTTAATTTGTGGATTGAAATCAATTATAATATATGATGTATGGATTATTATTAGATATGTTGTTAGTTCATGTTTATTTCTAGTTAAGTGCAAACATATACCTTATGCTGTTAAATTTATTTACTTTTTCTTCGTCTGATTTGAATATACCCGTTTAGAGTTTTTTTTTTTAATTAATAAATAATAATATTTTATTAATCAGTGGAAACTTATAAGAGATTTGATATTTTTTATTTTTCAACTTTATGTATAAAAATTATATGTGTAATACTCCCTCTGTTCCACCAATAGTGATATAAATAATTATAAATTAAAATTAAAATAACTAATTATTTTAATAAAAATTTTAAAAAATATATAAATTATAAATTTAAAATATAATTAAAACGTAAAATACTTTTCCAAAAAAAAATAACATGACATGTGGGACAGACGAAAATGAAAAACGTGACATGATATGTCGGACAGAGGAAGTAGTAGGTGTGTAATATAAATAAAAGTTAAAAAATATTTTGGTATTAATTTATGATAACTTTTATTAAAATATGAAAATCATAATAGTACTTTTGATCGAGACTAATAAAAATGGTAAAAATGGTATTATGAGTTGGGATAGAGAAACTATATTTGTGTTTCTTTTGCCAAATTTTATCAAATTTTACTATTTATACTTTATATTTCTGGAAAAATTTTTTTATAAAATATCATACTCACTCCGTCCAATTGAAATGTTACCATTTTTCATTTTCGTCCGTCCCAAAACAAAGTTACTATTTTCTAATTTAGTAATTGTACTACCTACTTCACATAATAAATACCCTTTCAACTTACAATATATTTCACAAATATCATTAGTTTTATATTACACCATACTAGTAGGAGTATTTTTGTCTTTTTTACTACAATCCAATATAATACTAATATTTAAAAATCTAGGTGCAAAAAGCAAACGTCACTCTTCCAACGAGACGGAGGGAGTATTAAATATTAGTTTAATAATAAACTCAAATCATTTTTTTTCCAAAATCACCAAAAACACAGTTACACTAGCCGCTATATATGTATTATAAATACAGCACGTGCTTAATTAAATGTATGTATATGGGCGGCGTAGGTACGGGGAGATATTTAAGACACATGTACTAGGTTGCCCGTGCGTGATGGTGGCAAGCCCCGAGGCGGCCCGGTTCGTGCTTAAAAACCGGGCGAATTTGTTCCGGCCGACGTACCCGAAGAGCAAGGAGAATCTGATCGGCAGGTCGGCCTTGTTCTTCCACCAGGGTCAGTACCACGCCCGCCTCCGCCGCCTCGTCCAAGCCTCCATGAGCACGGCGGCGCTCCGCCGCCTCTCGCCGGATATTGAGGCGGCGGTTGCCTCTGCATTGTCTTCTTGGGCTGACGCCGGCGGAATTATCAACACTTTTAAGCACATGAAAAAGGTTCGGCATCTATGTCCCCACCATCCTTACTTTTGTGCTATAATTAGGGTGTGTATGTGTTTGATTGAGGATTGAATTTTGGTTTGAGATTTGAATAGTAAAAATTTTGAATTTGAATAGTTATATCATAACAGTGATATAAATAAGTACTTATGTGATGTTTTGAATATAAAATTAATTTTTTAGTAAACTATATAACACCCCTCTGTGTTTTAGTAAAAATGCACAAAACAAAACACCCCGTGTTTTATTTATTGCGTGAAACCCCTATGTATTAACGTAAAATTTGCACGAAACACTCTCATTGTCCAAAATTGATGTTTGCTTTTAAATAAAAATATAAAATATTTCAAATATATTTTTTGAATGAAATAAATAAATAATTGATCAATAATTTTTTTTTATAACTTTTATAAAAATCAGATAACAACTTGTCTAAAAAAATGATGCTGGTACTCGTATATGTTGACTCGGTCAAATCAACACTATGCTGACTTGGTCGGATCAACACAAGATCTGCAGTCATATTATATATAGCTAGCATGGTACTTCCTCCGTCCCTTAACAATCTATCTATTTTTCCGGTCCGTCTCATAACAAAATATTCATTTTTTTTTAGTAATTGTATTATCTATTTAACATTACGAATACCCTTTCAATTTATAATATATTACACAAATGTACTAATTGGGTTAATTTAATCTTTTTATTTTTATTTCTACTTTATTTTAATATAATATTAATATTTCTAAAATTCCGTGCAAAAAATAAATTGATATGTAGATATGGGACGGAGGAAATATTTGTAATTTTATTACATTATGGTACTAACTAATTAATTAATCATGATTCTTGCAGCTATCTTTTGAAGTTGGTGTGTTAGCTACCTTTGGGTATCTAGAAGACCATTACAAGGAAGAACTGAAGAAAAACTATATTATAATGGATAAAGGCTATAATTCCTTTCCAACAAATTTTCCTGGAACCAAATACCACAGCGCCATTAAGGTACTATTTAATTTCTTATTTACTTAATTAATTTATTAATATAATTATGTAAATTTATTTTTCCTTGTATTTAATTAATTGATTAATTTTCTGTTAAGGCAAGGAAGAGGCTGAGTGAAATCCTAAGACACATAGCCAGAGAAAGAAGGAATAATAATTATAACACGGCGGAGAAGAATCTTCTAGACTGTCTGCTGACTTCGGGAAATGGCGGCGGTGGCGGCGGCGCTGACTTTCTGTCGGAGGATCAGGTTGCTGACAACGTGATTGGCGTGCTGTTTGCTGCACAGGATACGACAGCAAGTTCAATGACGTGGATTCTAAAATACCTGCACGATAATCCTAAGGTTTTCGAGGCTGTTAAGGTTAGTTGTTAATTATATATCGCAAATTTGTTAATACTTACAAGTGTGGTATATAACAGGATGACCGCTCTTAGACCTTAGTATGAGCAATGAACAATTAGTCAGACTTCTGATTAATAGAGGATTCATATTTTAAAATATTACTCATTATTATTATTATTATTAAATTTTAAAATTTATAATTAAATATTAATTTGTAGTTTATGTTTTTTTTTCTTTGTAATTATTTAATTTAATTTTAAATTTTAATTATATATATTTTTTAATCATATCTTATCTTATTTTTTCACATTCAATCGTCATCCATACCTCTGCCTCATACCGCACTGCGTTCACCTATTCATACGAAACTTGCCTCACCTTCTATCTTCTCTCTTTCATCCTCCCTCAATCATCTTTGTTTTTTCAGTTTGTCTTTCATCTTCCTTCTTAAATCGATCATGCCCAAACTGTCACGTTCAACCTCTTGTCCAATCGACGTCAACAGTGATATTATTTTGAAAATACATTTTAATAATGTGTTTATAGAGCCAATAATTTATTTTTGCTCAGGGTCCCAAAAAAGCCCGAGACGGTCATGATAACAGTATGTAGTGCATTAAAATCAATTGTTGTGTGTTATATAAAATTATATCATGTGCTGTTAGTTTATATATTGTATTTGTATTATACTAACACATATGGTGTGCTGTCTGTGATAATACCATGTACTGTCTATCAACACGCTGCGTAACCGGCATCATTTAGACACACATATATTTTTATTATTTTATGAAAAATAAAAATAAAAATTGAACAACGTTCTTATCCTGTGTGCAGGCAGAACATACTGCGATCTACGAATCAAATGAAAATGGGACAAACAATCTTTCCTGGAACCAGATAAAAGACATGACCGTTACTCACAAGGTACGTAATTTCTATCTTAAAGTTGAGATATATTCCTTCTGTGCAATTTATTTTATTTTGTTTTATACCAAGATTTTCTGAACACATAAACTTAAAAATAATTGCTTTCATCCATTCATAAAGTATATATATATTTTTATTTTGATGGTCCAATTACAAAGTAATCATTTAAAAACTATCTCATTTTTTTTTTTTACAAATAGATTTACTTTATCATAACGTTATTACTTTTATATCAATTATAACTAAAATATTATTATTTTTTAAATTCTGTGCAAAAAGTAAATATATATTTTATTAAAATACTATAGATTCTAATATTATAAAAGAAATGAGATTATAATTTGATGAGTGAAAATTTCCATTACACTCTATTATATTACACAAAAAAAAAAAAAAAAAAAGAAGAAGAAGAAGAAAAAAGTATGTATATATTGACAGTGAGAGGCTTTTTGTTTTACCAGGTGATTATGGAGAGCTTGAGAATGGCAAGTGTTATATCTTTCACTTTCAGAGAAGCTGTGGCTGATGTCGAGTACAAAGGTAATTAAAATGTGATTTTATTTTATTGTAATTTGAAATTAATTTAAAATTTATTATTAATTTGAATTTTTATTTAAATAATATTTTAAATTATTGTATTTTTTTTATATTTCTCAACCCTTTTATTTTTTTAACTTTTTTAACTGAACTTTCTATTTTACCTATAGAAAAATCAATCTTCATTCTCTACTAAATATTTTTTCTCTATAAATATATCATCTACTATAATTTTTTTACAATTTCATTATGTATAGAGAATACACTGCAAGTTTCTAAGAAGTTTATTTTTAAAAATATTTTGTTATCATTTTTTTTTGAATATTTTTATAAATTACATTAAAAATAATAAAAGAATAAAAATAATATGTAAATGAAGAAATATTGTAAAACCTTTTTTTTTTTAATTATTCTAGACTAAAACTAATAACAAAATAAGCCGACATGCCAATTCTTTTTTTTTTTTTTTTTTTTTTTTTTTTTTTTTTTTATGATGTGGGAACCCTCACATGCAGGGTACTTAATTCAAAAAGGATGGAAAGTATTACCTTTGTTCAGAAATATTCATTACGATCGAGACTTGTTTCCTGACCCTCACAAGTTTGATCCATCAAGATTTCAGGTAATACTTAATTTGAAGTTACGTTTACATATATTTTGAAAATATTTTAAAATAGTAAAAATTTAAATAAAAAATAAATATTAAATTGCAGTACGGGGTGAAAGGCGAGACCTTTTTGGCTTTCGGGAGCGGAGTTCATGCTTGCCCTGGAAATCAGCTTGCCAAGCTCGAAATGCTCGTTTTCGTGCACCACCTAACATCCCGATTCAGGTAAATATTATATGTACAAAATTACGGATGATTATATCGTATTAATAAAATATTATATCATTTTATATTAAAGTATCAAAATAATTATGTTAACATATACTTCTTCCGTCCCATATTTATATATCAATTTGTTTCTTTTACACGTAGTTTATAAATATTAATATTATATTGAAATATAGTAAAAATAAAGGTAAAAAGACTAAATTAACCTTATTAGTATTATATGATATAGACGAAATGATATTTGTATAATATCTTGTAAATTGAAAGGGTATTTGTAATGTTAGATAGATAACTACAATTACTAAAAAGAATGGATAATTTATTATGAGACAGACCAAAATAGAAAAATTGATAGATTGTTAACGGACGGAGGGAATACTTTTTTCTAGATTTAGGTTCTTATAACCTAATAATAACTTACACATTATTAATGAATGTAAAATATTATTAATCTTTAATCAATTGTACAAATAATAATATACAAAGAGAGATTTTTTTTAGACAAGTTTTTATCACAAAACTTTAAATTAAACATCTTACCTTATATTTTTTAGTTTTTTTTTTTTCAAAACTACATACCTAAAAGCCTCTATTCTAGGCTTTTTTCTTAGAGACATTTGAAGTTTTGAATTTTTTTTTAAATAATTAATAATTAATAAAAATAATTATTGATGAATAGCCCAACACCTCTAAAAGTATCTATGTAAATGAATTTCTTCAAAATATTTGCATTTTTTATTTTGTTTTTATATTACTCGCACTCACACACCCAAACTCATTTTTTAAAACGGAATCAGTTACTTTACCTCCAATGAACTGTGTAATTTGTGTATCGACAAATCACCTTTCGCCAGGTGTATTTTTAAAACAAAAAAAAAAAAAAAAATTAAATACACCTGGCAGGAAGTGATGGATCGATACACAAATAACACAATTAATCTAAAACATAACACACTAAACATTTTTGTTAACTTTTAATTCTTTAATATTTTCAACGATTCATTATGTAATTCTCATGATTTTTACAAAAATACACAAAATTCGTTCACAAACCCCGGACGCCTCAGGTCACCTACCACATATGGTTCGCCTAGTATAACTTTTCCGTCGGCTTGGTTTGTAGGGTATTAGGTTCAGCCGGGGGTTTACCCAGTGCGCACTTTCGGGTAGCGGCTGCGGGTCCCACATCATCTTGAAAAAAAAAAAATACCACCTATATATGTATATATATATATATATCTCTTGAAAAAAAATATCATCTTGAAAAAGTATTTTCAAAACAGGTCTAAATTATTGGCAATTTTATTGCATGCAGGTATGAATTGGTAGGATGTGAAAGTGGAGTTGAGTATAGTCCATTTCCTGTCCCATTGCATGGCCTTCCAGCAACATTTTCGAAACTACCTCAACCACAAGAATAATTAAGGATGTCCCAATTAATTGATATTTGATATATATATATATATATATATGATTTGTATTAGATATCATTGAATCTATCTGAGAACCAATTGTTGGGGGTAAAAGGGTAAATTCATGTGACCCTTTTATGTATCCATCTATATATAGCTTCTCATTGTATTTGTTATTGTATGTTTGGGCAAACACAAATACAAGTGACTTTGCCCTTTCTTGACATCTTTTGTTTAGACATGAGGACTATGCATGAATGATTGTTTCTTGATTTGGAATTGACTTTAAAAATTATTATTATTTTATACTTGTAAAGAAATATTTGTTATACAAGTTCAAATAAACTTTTTATTAAAATCAAAACCAAATTTTAGGCTTTTAATTTTTTATTTTTTTTTTACACACTAGGTTTAAGTTAGATCTCGAATCTATCCAGACCTACTATCACTTCTAGAGATATTGATAATTTTAAATTAAATTAATTTTTGTTTTTGTTTTTTTCAACAGTTAGAATTTTTTTTTTTTTTATTAGACTTGATCTGAATGACAGTTTAAATTCAAATTGGTTCGCATAAGGACTATCTCAAAAGCCTCCAAATAGATTTGTTTACTTTATCAACTTACATTCAATTTTTTTTTTTTTAAAAAAAATCCATTAAATATACTTTTTCTCTAACAAAATATCAAATCAAATATTGATTTTTTTATTTTTTTCAAACTTTCAAAATTTCAAAAAATATTTCAAAAATCTCCTATCTAAACAAAGCTTCTTTCAATTTGTCCTAGATTTCAAATAAAAAAGGACATGCAATCATATGACCTAGAGTATAGTTAATTAAGAGTTAACGATTTAATTATCTTTAAAGACTGGCGGCAAATGACAATGGGTCCGGATAGACTTGATATTTGATATCATACCCAAACAGACATAAATTGAAGTATATTAAATAATACTCCCTCTGTCCCAGATATCATGTCCACGTTGCCGTTTCTGTCCGTCCCACATACCATGTCACTTTCTTTTTTCGGAAAATGATTACACACTTTAATCTCATTTTAAATTTTTAAATTTTATTTTTTTTAATTTTAATTAAACTAATTAGTTATCTTAATCTTAATTTATAATTATTTATATTATAGGATAATTATTTTCACTAATACATTCTTAATTATCTACTAATAACACCCCTCCTAATTAAATACCGTGTATACAGTATAGCAGACACGGTATCTGGGACGAAGAGAGTATAATATTTTTAAATATATAAAGATTTAGAATAAATTATATATATTTACTTTTATAATACTGTCTTTTCTTTCAATAATGTTGACATGTTAAACACTATTAATTTTGTAACATTCAAATACTTGGTTTTTTTTCCCTAAAAACTGCTTTAATAAAAATTCATCAAAACACACAAACACACACACAAATCAAGCTAAATTTCACAAAAATTCACATGTGGTTTTACAAAAGATCCTCGTACTTTTAAAACTGCGTCAAACTCTCTTATAGTTTCTGTTAAGCACAAAAAATAATAATAATAAATAATGGCAGTGGGATTCTGGACGGGTCTGGATATAAGTTAAATGACCCAGAAGTCGGGTGCAATCGGACAGATGCAAGGATCGGGAAGGAAGAAAGGTCGGGCGGAGTTTGAAAAAAGGTGTACCCAAGTCGGGTAAACCGTAGATTGGGTGAAAGACGAAGTCAGGCAGACGCGAAGGTTTGTCAAGAGAAAGGTCGGACAAGGAAGAGGTACGGACAGATGCGGAGGTCTGTCCAGAGGACAGTCTGTCCTTCTAAAGAGATAAGGCAAATAGAGCCGGTCGGTTGGTCCGTGGTCGGGACCACATTTGGTTGGTCCATGGTCGGACCAATTAAAGTCGGTCAAAGACGGAGGGCGGCTGATGCGGAGGTCGGCTCAAATGATGTCGGGCGAAGAAGCAGGTCGGGCATTGAGGTCAGGACGTGATACGAAGTTCGGACCAAGTGAGGTCGGGCGAATGGCATTTCTGGGACGGTTTAAGGCGTGAGAGGTTTGGGGAGGTTGAAGGAAGTTGTAACACGTGTCAATTGAGGAGAATTTGATGGTCGGTTGACAGCGGTTGCTGTAACCGACCAGACGGCGGTTCAAACCGTTTTCTTCAAAGGCTATTTAAGGATTCAGATTTATTCTGAAAAGGCATCTTCAATCAACTTCAACAAAGCAAAGTCAGATTTGGGGATCACCACTTTAAATTTCAGTCTTTTATTTTCCAGTTTATTTTCTGTACCATACAGTGTTTAGAGATTCCTAATCTCAGGCACTAATTAATCAAGTTTAAGGATATTTTCTATATCTTTGAATTTTACTTTATTTTTGTTGAAAAATTACATCAACAAATTGGCGACCACAGTGGGAGAAAGGCAAGATTGCTGATACTACATCAACACAAAATGTCATACAACTGAGGTCTGGCCGAATCATCAGAAAAATCAATATGGCAGGCACACAACCTCAATCATCATCAGCACCGGTGGGAGAGAATGTTTCACCACCAGTCATGCCAAATCCAGGGGAGATTTCCCCACCACCTACCGATTGGTTGTCTTATATTCAACAAATGAACAATCAGCAAACTATGTTTATGCAGAACATGTTGCGTGAACAACAAAATCTAATACAGAACATGGTGGATCAGGCATTCTCCAGATTCACCCTGTATCCAAACATGCTTCCAGCCGTGTCACCTGCTCGTTTTCAGGCGATTTTTCCAGGATCAACGTTTGCAGGGCCAACGTACGTTGACAGTACGTTTCCAAGCGTCACAACTTTCAACCGAACAGATATGGGGAAGATTCCTCTAACTTTCCCAGATAATGTTCCTTTGGGACCGAGGGTTGATAATACCCAGCCGAATGAGAGATTAGGAGGACAGACTCATAATCCCATTCCAACCGAACCAGCCTTCTCTAGAGAAGAAAGGTTGGAGGGACAGACTCATAATCCCATCCCAGCCGAACCAGCCTTCTCCAGAGAAGAAAGATTAGGAGGTCAGACTCACGATCACATTCCAGTGTTCGACCATATTCCACCCAGAGTAGATCCGGAGGATATTGCTCAAGTTCTGCGGGTGCATTTCGGAATGAATCCGCAAACGGTGAACAGGCCGGTTTACCAGAGGCCATTTCCAGAAAGGATCATTAACGATCATCCTCTCCCGAGAAATTATAGGCCACCAGACTTCTATTCTTTTTCGGGAGAAGACGGAGCCTCTACCATTGAGCATGTGGGTCGCTTCACGGCTCAATTGGGAGAAGTAGGCAACAATCCGTTTCACAAGTTACAATTGTTTGGGTTGTCGCTCACAAGAACAGCTTTTTCTTGGTATGCCAGTCTGCCGCCTGGACAGTTGCAAACTTGGGAAGATTTAGAGGCAAATTTTCATGCAAGGTTCTTTAATCCTCTGCCGACAGTCTCACTGATAGACCTTCTGGAGATCACGCAGATGCTGGAAGAGACCGGCTACCAATTCATAGAGAGGATGCGATTGATGAAGGGACGATGTCCTACGATGATCAATGAAAGCGAAATGACCAATTTGGTGGTCAGGAACATGCATACCAGACTTCGCGAGGCCCTGACAGCCCACGACTTTCAAGATCTGGCCAGTTTAGCATCCACGGCAAGAAGGTTAGAATCCTTTTTTACAGAAAATAATCATGACTTCCGTCAGGGGGGAGATGCTGAAGCAATGTTAGTGCAAGATCGATCAATGTGCAGACCACCACCAGTCCGCGATAAATGGAGGTCGGGTCCAACGTAGCCTCAGAAGATGGAGGTCGGATCTGAGGCTGATGTAGCCTCAGATGCTGACCTGCAAACTCCTAAAACATCACTGAAAGTGATGTTTAGGAGTCTTGAGGAGGAGGCTTATTGTTAAGCACAAAAAATAATAATAATAAATAATGGCAGTGGGATTCTGGACGGGTCTGGATATAAGTTAAATGACCCAGAAGTCGGGTGCAATCGGACAGATGCAAGGATCGGGAAGGAAGAAAGGTCGGGCGGAGTTTGAAAAAAGGTGTACCCAAGTCGGGTAAACCGTAGATCGGGTGAAAGACGAAGTCGGGCAGACGCGAAGGTTTGTCAAGAGAAAGGTCGGACAAGGAAGAGGTACGGACAGATGCGGAGGTCTGTCCAGAGGACAGTCTGTCCTTCTAAAGAGATAAGGCAAATAGAGCCGGTCGGTTGGTCCGTGGTCGGGACCACATTTGGTTGGTCCATGGTCGGACCAATTAAAGTCGGTCAAAGACGGAGGGCGGCTGATGCGGAGGTCGGCCCAAATGATGTCGGGCGAAGAAGCAGGTCGGGCATTGAGGTCAGGACGTGATACGAAGTTCGGACCAAGTGAGGTCGGGCGAATGGCATTTCTGGGACGGTTTAAGGCGTGAGAGGTTTGGGGAGGTTGAAGGAAGTTGTAACACGTGTCAATTGAGGAGAATTTGATGGTCGGTTGACAGCGGTTGCTGTAACCGACCAGACGGCGGTTCAAACCGTTTTCTTCAAAGGCTATTTAAGGATTCAGATTTATTCTGAAAAGGCATCTTCAATCAACTTCAACAAAGCAAAGTCAGATTTGGGGATCACCACTTTAAATTTCAGTCTTTTATTTTCCAGTTTATTTTCTGTACCATACAGTGTTTAGAGATTCCTAATCTCAGGCACTAATTAATCAAGTTTAAGGATATTTTCTATATCTTTGAATTTTACTTTATTTTTGTTGAAAAATTACATCAACAGTTTCATAAACTCTGCGTTCTTATTTTACGGTATTTAACTTAAATGTACCCAAACTGCGAATAAATTTTAAAATCTTAATTTTTAAATCCCTAAAATTATAAATACATTTATTTTTCTTATATTTAGCCTAAACAAAAACAGTAACAATAAACTCTTAAAACCTCGTAAAAATAATTTTTTTTAAAGTATATTTACTATTTTTGAGGGTAAATATAAGAAAAATGAATATATTTATAATTTTAGAGGTTTAGAAATTTGAGATTCTAAAATTTATTCGCAGTTTGGACGTATTTCGGTCAAATACCGTTAAATAAGAACCTTCGATGGGTTAGACGCAGAGTTTATGAAACCATGAGGGAGTTTGACGCAATTTTAGAAGTATAGGAGATTTGACGCAATTTCATGAAACCACATGTAGGTTTTGTACAATTTAGCCAAAAAGTTATAATGTTATCAGCTTGATATAAATATGTCGTGATATTTTGAATATAAAATTAATTTTTAGTAATAATATAAAAATAAAAAATAAATATTTAATATTCCATCCGTCATTCAAATCTATACTCACTTTCCTTTTTGAGTTGTCATCGAAAAATATTCTCATTTTATTTTTAAGTAAAATATCATTCCACTTTTGTACTGTTTTTTACTATAAAAAGAAAAATTAGCAATTATTACTTAATTTTATTAAAATTTATGCTCCTTCAAATAAGCGAACATTTGCATGACCGATAGAGTAATATTTTTTTTAAAAAAAATATTGATAAATAGTAAAAATTCGAAAAAATCCCTCAACGAACACACCCAATGGTAGCCTTTGACTACCAGCTAAATTTATTAAATGGGCCGAGTTGGGTAAGACGGCCCAATTGTAATTTGGGTTAAACATGGGCCCATAAAGGCCCAATTAGCCGTTGGGGGCATTGAATTGCGTGAGGGTAGAGGCAATGACAGTTAGCGGTCAGCCTTATCGTCCCTACTCACCTACGCTACGTCACGTACTCTCTCCACCCTCATCTGCCGCGATTCTTGAATGCTAATAAATTTGGATCTCGCTTCGGGTTCGATCACGTTCTGTTGGTGGATTCTGGAATTCCTGAGAAATCGCAGTATCGCCAGATCGCCTGATTTTGGAGAAGGAGAGAGCCATGTCTGATTCTACTACCATGAAATCTGATGCGCTCATGGAGCAGATGAAGCTCCATATATCGACCGACGCTGGAAAAGAGCTTACGAAGAAAATTGGACTCGTTTATCAGATCAATATCGCTCCTAAGGTCGCCGTTTTTGGGTTTAATTATGTTTTTGGGTGTTTGATTGTCATTGGATTGTTGTTCGTAATTTGTTTTGGTTTTGACTTGATTTTTTGATGAATTGCAGAAATTAGGGTTTAATGAGAAATCTTATGTGGTTGATTTGAAGAAAGGGGAGGTTAAAGAAGGTTGGGATTCTTCAGCACTTTCTTTCAGATTATGCTTATTTATATTGCTTTGTTTGGTTTCTGGAAGTGAATTCTTCGATCTTTTAGGTGAACTTCAAAATTACTTCAAAATTGTGTGAAATTTGTTTGGCTGTGTTTTATATTATCATAAACAGTAAAAAAGTTAGAATTGAAATAGCTGTTTAAACAACAATAAGTTGATGTTGTGAATATGATATTTGAATAAATTTTGGTATCCGATGCTATATTTTTGGTAAAAGTAAAAATCGTTTATTGTAGGCTATGAATAGTGAAAATATCTTGGTAAATCAAGACCAAAAATTCAGTGTTTTTTAATCAATCATATGAACTGCTGCAAAACCGAAGGTCTTTTTGAAGCCATGGAACAATAATATGTATAGATGGCTTGATCTCTTGTTTTTAAGAAGCTTTTCAAGATAATCGAATTTTTGTTAGAGAGCAAATCATAAGTTACTGTAAGACAAGGTTTTTTTTTTTTTTGATCAGAACTGTAAGACAAGGTTTTAAGCGATGATTTGGTTTATCTCAATCGGCCGCAAGTAGACTGGCAAATTGTTGTGCATTTGGTAAATAAGCAGCCTGATAATTATAATGTACCGAAAATGATTTGTAAGCATTGCCGGTGGTTGTATCTCAAGAAAATGGTTGAAATAAGCAGAAAAGAATGCTGCTCGCATTTGAAAACAGATTGCTAAACCTGCAGAAAATGTTGTTCTTGTTTGAGCAGGAATTTTCTCGAACTATGCTGTTTAATGAAGGTTCGATTATGCTCCACTGCAGGGATATATGAAGATGGGAAGCCAGATGCAACCTTTTCATTTACAGATGAAGATTTCATGAAGATCGCCACCGGGAAGATGAATCCCCAAATTGCATTTATGAGGTAATGTGTTTTTACCAAAATCAGTATATATTTGGTTTGCCTTCGTTGATGGTATATAATATATGTTTGTAAAACAAATGCAGGGGCGCTATGAAAATCAAGGGCAGTATAAGCGCCGCGCAGAAATTCACTCCCGATATCTTCCCAAAGCCATCAAAAATGTGAGCTGTCACAACGAACAAGATCAAAGTAGAAGATATGCACTATTTTAGTTGATATTTGATGCATGTTGTTTGCTTTGCCGTGATCAAAACTCTGAAACGTATCGCCTCTATTTATGCGTATCAATAAAATTATTGTTTCTCTCGTCGTATTCACTTCTACATTGTTCATAAATGATCGGATTAGGTATTAGGGCTTTGCCATAGTAAGAGGACTTGGAGAAATCATAATAGAGAACCTCCTTACATTATCTTGAAGCAATTATTTAGTATTTTTATCCGGGAAAAAAAAACGTAGAAGAAAATTGGCGTGATCACTACACATTTTTCTGTGTACATAAATTATATTCATGGAGAAGAAGTGCAGTGTGTTTTTGCGAAGGTATTGCAGATTTTCCAGGTCAGTTCACGAGGACGGCGATCGGATTCAAGCTGTCTTACTCGACACTTGAGTCTTCTTCTTGAAAAGGGACATGAAGAAACGCGGTAAGAACGATCTCTTCTTTTTCCTTGGCGAAAGTGTTAGTTCTGTCGGTGATTCTGTATTTTCTGTCTTGCGTCTTGTGCTCGTCCTTACCAGGCACGTTTTCGATCGCTTGTGCAGACCAAGACAGCTTGGCGGGCCGAAGATATACCTGGGCTCGTCGAAACGCGGGCTCAGAGGCGCAGAAACAGCTTTCACAGGCGCCAAAACAGGTTTGACGACCATGTTCTTCTGCTCGTGCTCGGATTTCAACTTTCTCAACTCCTCTTCGGCAGCGAGCTTTTCCGCCTCAGCTTTTTCAGCCTTCAGCAACGCGAGTGCTAGGGTTTCCTTCCGCTCGGCAATCTCACGATTAACTTCCTCCAGCCTGTTCAAGCTCATCGATGCAGACTCCTTAGCCGCCTCGACTTGGGATACGGCAGCCGCCATTCTCGTGTTCGCCTCGACTTCAGCTTCGTGGACTTTCTTGGTAAGTTCGTAATACTCTCCTAAAGTAAGCATGACTTCGTCGGGTGAATTATCGTTACTGTCCCTTTGAGCCGATTCGTTCTTGGCTAATGCTTTGATTGCCGCTATCGCCAGGTTCTCGGAAGCCCTGGCAGTTTCGATTTCGATTCGAGCTGCTTGTAATCTGCTCGCCATTTCTTTCGCCCCGGCTTTCGCATGTTCCGCTTCCTTCGTCGCCTTTTGGAGCTCGCAGTGGGCTGTTTGGGCGAGCGTTTTTGCTTCGTCGGCCTCTCGGGCTGCCTGTTGAAGCTGTTTCGGAAGATCCTTTGTCGCCTCTTGTTCGCCGCATTGTTTAACAATCGTAAGTTCAGACTTTACGCTGCTTAAGTTAGCTTCGAGACACCGGATTTCATTTGATGCTATTCTCTCCCTCTGTTTAATCGCAGCAAGTTCGGATCTTTCCTCGTCGAGCGCTGATTTCAACGACGTCTCCGACACCTTCAAGCTCTCGACTTTGTCGGCTGTCGTCTCGATGTTCTGCCTCGCCTCTGTAAGTTCGATCTTAGCTACCGTTATAGCAGCTGTGATACCGTTATGGCTACGCATCTTCGGTTCCGTTAGAACACCTTCTAAAGTTACGTCTTCCCCGGTTTCCCCTGACTTCGACTCCATGTATTTGGCCATTTCAGCTTTCATATGTTGCAGCAACGCCGTCGCCTCGCCCAATTTCGATCGAACGTCCTTCGTCGACGCCATTTCTGAATTCAGCTTCCCGAGCTTCTCCTCGACGGAACTCAATTCCGACTCCCAGATGAGACACTCGAGCTCTTTCACGGTGACTTCTACGATAATACGATTTTCTTTGTCCAGATGTTCCGAGCGCACAGATTGCAAGGATTGCTTCAGGGTGAGAATCTCTGCCGTCATTTCGTCTATCGACTTCTCGGCTTCTTTCGATGCGGTGTTAGCTTCTTCCGTGTTTCTAATGCAATTTTCCTTTTCAGCTAACGCCGAATTCGAGTCCTTCCTGATTTGATCGAGTTCGCTGTTAGCTGCGTTAAGCTCCGCAACAGCCGCCGCGTGTTTCACCCGGGCGAGTTCGAGCTGCGCCCGGGCTTTCGAGGTGGCCTCGTCGGAAATCCCTGGCTCCATTTTCTCGACCTCGAGTTTCGCAAGTTCGGCGGTCTGTTTTGCCCGTTCTTCGTCCTTCTGGGCTGTCTCGAGTTTCAGCTTTAACTCTTCGATCTGAGCTTTTGTGGCGTCGAGATCTTTCAGGACTTGCATTTTCGCCGCCTCCGCCGTCTCCGACTGCTGCTTATATATTGGTATTTCCTCCTGCGCTTTCTCTAGTTCTTGCCCGATATATTTACGTCGCTGCAGGGAAAACGAAACCGGTCGGGATTGTACAGAATTGTCGACGGGGACGAAGTGTAACTGATTGTACCTCTACGGTCTGCACACGGTGGGCTTTCCAGTCCACGATCCCTCCGAATTTGGACACGGCAGCCTTCACGGATTCGAAAGGCGCGGCTGTGTCGATCTGACCTCGGGTTAAGTCGATGCTGTGCATCGTCGATGCCTTGTTCGGTTTCGTCGATTGAGCTCTCGTCAGATGGGTTTGGGCGACTTTTGCGACGATCTGATCCATGCTCGCCAATCGCCGGTGCTTGGGATCCGCAGCAGCCGATGACGATAGCAAATTCTCGTCCGGGGATGACTTTGTTCTGTCGAGAGGAGGTGGCGCGACAAAGTCGTCGTTTTCGGGCGACGACAACCTGGCCACGATTCTGGCTTCCGGATGGTTACGATCGGTCTGGTTTCTCGATGGTTCCGCCGAGGTCTCAAACGGATGAGCTGCTTTTTCGTCGAAAGGTTCGATTGTAGGTTGGGCAGCGGCGTTTTTTGGTTCGGGTTCGGTATGCGATTCCGAAAGGTGGTTATCGCCGTCGTCGTCGCCGTTATTGTTGTTCTGGGTCTCTGTTAGCGACGATGACGATGGTGGGGATGGATTGGGAATTTTCTCCGGAGTTGTTACCGGTGAGGTAGCGTCGAGTTCTTTGTTGTCGTCTGAAGTTGCTACGTCTATTTCTTGACCGTCGTCATCTGGAGATGGAAGCACCGCCGGCGGCGATGACTCCAGGGAGCCGTTTCCGGCGAAGCTTTTAGCCGCCTCCATTCTGATACAATGCTCTGAGAATGTTAGCAACGACAAATTTGAAGAAGCAATCGTGTGTGTGTGTATATATATATTCATAAAATTGAATAAATTGTGATTTTCATTCAGCAAATTATATTATTAATGGATGATTCATAAGATATATGTCCAAATTGTTTAAAAATAAAATAGAAAAATGTGAAGAGGTACCGAGAGCCCCAGGAATGAATCCCCAGAGACGACGAGGAATAACGCCAAAATGGAAAGATGCGACCTAAGAATGAAATGCAATATTCCCAACATTACTATCAAACAACCATACCCCTTTCTTTCATGTTTAGCCACCATTTTTGAGAAATTCACTCTCCGCCTTAAAATAAATAGGAATGTTGTAAATTAAATAATAATAATAATAATAATAATAATAATAAATTGAAAGATGAATAGAATGGACTAATTGTGCAGGAATGTGTTTATTTGGAGTATTGGATTTAATTTTCACTATTCTATCTCATTTTTTTCTCTCAAAAATATTAAATCAAACACATATTTTTTTATTTTTTATATTATACTAAAAATTAATTTTACATTCAAAACATCACATAACACCTATTTACATCATATCATATAACTATTCAAATTTAAAATTTTTACTATTCAAATCCCAAGTCAAAATCCAAACCCCCGAAACAAACACACCCTGCTTATTTATAACAAGAAAATATTGAATTTATCAAAAATTTCAGTATCTATTTCAAAAGTATGACGAGGAAGAAGCAAAAGAACTGATTATTCCACATAGAACCTTAAAAGGAAAAAACACGTCATTAAACATAAATGAAGTATGCATAAACTAATTCAGGAAGAATGAACAGGGTGCAAGGCAAAGACAGATTGTTCATTCTGTGTATGATTTCTCTCTCCCCGCGTCTCTCAATGGGTATTTTGGGCTTTCTTATCTTGTGTTTGTTTCAACGGTTTTCTCTCGTTGATTTTTTCGGTAAATTCTTCTTCTCTGTGCGCTGAGTATTCGGGCTTTTGATCGGAGTGTAGAGTGATGTTTTCGGTTTCGTTCGTTTGGAGTTTGTTTAAAGTCGGTTGGGTAGTCCCTACTATGAGTCATTCACCGACAAAAAAAAGGTTTTTCGATTGAGCTTATTTAAAAATTTCATTAATATTGGTTTAGCAATTAACTGTAATCTCTTTATAAGCAATTTAGGTAGACAATTTTGAGTATATACATAAATGGTATAGGATACTCAATATCAATTCCAATAGATATGCAATAATCATCAAATATATTGAATGAATATTCACCAGTATTATCAAGCAGAATTTTCTTTAATGGGTGATTTGAAAATTGTGTCCGCAATTTAATTATTTGAGCAAGTAATCTCGCGAAAAGTCAAATTGCGATTAGATAACAAACATATATGCGATCATCAAGTAGATTCATCAATAAGTAACATAAAATATTTGAACGGTCCGCATGATGAATCTATAGGTCCATATATACATATATATATATGCCGTGAATTCATTCTAGACATGTTGGGGATTCAGTTATCACTTTTGCTGATGATGGTCTAATAATTAGTTTCCCTTGTGAATAAGCAACAAATTTCAACTCATTTGTATTTAATATCATTTGATTTTGCAAAATATGACTATGAGTATTTTCAATAATTTGTCTTATGATAATATTAACGGGAAACTCTAGCCGTTAATGTCAAATCACAAAATTTGAAAACTTTTGGTCTACCATATATGTTTCAGTTGCATTCATTTTTGTATAATATAATTCGGAAGACCATGAAGACAATTTTTTTAATATATATTTATGTCCATCTACGAATTTTATAATTAACAAGAAATTATTATTTGTCTCATTTGATATCTTAATATGATATCAATTTATGCGAATATCATTAAAATTCAGTAAAATTCTTTTTAGATTTGCTAGAAAATAGTATATTTGGAATGTCAAATTTGATTTCTTTTGGGATAAATACTATTGCTCTTTCGGAATATTCAATCAATTTTGTACTACCATCTATTGTATTAACATAAATATTTCTTAACTTCATGTTGGTAAAATATTTGTTATATTTCATGATAGTATGTTGATGCACTATCAATTGTTTTCCATATTATTTATTATGACGCGTTGAACATTCATATTGTTTTCTTTTTTTGGAAGAAATATCATATAGTTGATATATTATTATAAAATATAAAATATGAGAGGGTCAACAATAGTAAAGTACAGGGGTACAAAAATATGCACATATATACTATTACATTGCACCATCAAGGAGTTCAAAATATGTACTCTCAGGGTCACAAAGTATGTACTTTTCGGGTGCACCCGAAAGTCAAACACATTTAAATATGTATGTCAATGCAATCTCCAATAACCACTAGCATCATTTTTTTAAAAAGTTAACTTCCCCAGAGTTTTGACATCTTCGGATGCCTTATATTTTTCTTTCATAGAATTCTGATATAGCTCAACAAAATATGAGTTTGAACGGCAAGTTCGTGACCAATGTTCTGTCATCCCACAACGATGACGTTTGTCCTCAGTTTTTCTTGAACCTTGACCAATGTCATCTTAAGACCGCTTCAAGGGTCTATTTCGTCTTTTTTCATAAACGAACCATCACGATGATAGTAAGGTTTAAATCTATCTTGATCACGTCCACGGTCAGTTCTACGGCCACGATCCATTCCTCGTCCACGACCTCTCCCACGGTTGTATCTAGGCCCATTATTAAAAAATTAAGTCACATTCATTCTAGGGAATGGACTTGTACTAATTGGCTTGACTCATAATTTTTCAATGACAATCTATTATTCTGTTCAGCGACAAGAAGAAAAGTAATAAAATTACAATATTTAGTAAAACCTTTTTTTTCGATATTATTACTGTAGAACCATATTAGAGGCATAGAACGTGGTGAATATTTTTTTTCAGCATATCTCTATCGGTGATATTTTCTCTACAAAATCTTTGTTGGACGTGATTTTAAACGCCATAAAATTATAATCAGCAACAATTTTAAATTCTTGTAGGCGCAAGTGTTGCCATGCATATTTTATTTTTGGAAGAATGACCTTCAAATCGATCTTTCAAAATCGTTCACAAGTCAAGTAGATCTTTGATAGTAAGGTACTCCATTTCCAAAGCTTCGTCAATGTGATGACGAAGGAAAATCATTGTCTTTGCACACTTTTGGCTTGTGCATTCATTCTCCTTAGTTATTGTTTTTGCAAGCTCCATAGACTCTAAATGTATTTCAAACATCCATCACCTACGGCATATAATTACTTTCGGTAATAGTCAGTAAGGGAATATTCATAATTATATTGAGAATAGTAGAATAATTACCTAAAAGTTTGACAAAATCTCTCAAGCATTTTGATATATATATATATATATATATTTTTTGTGTCCGAGACAGAATTTCTACATCACTTTAGCGCCTTTTTTTTTTTTTTTTTTTGTATCTGGGACAACACTTCGACATAAAAAAATTTCTTGGATAAAATCTTTGCAGCTCGTGTTGAAAATATGTTATATATATAATAAAATAATATAACATATAGATAACTTATAATAACAATACTTAATATATATTGTAAAATATATAATGTGTATAGACACGGACGGATTTAGATGGGGCTACGCGGCAACTGACCCAGTTTTCAAAATTTATGTATTTTTTAATGTAAAAAAATAATAAAATAATGTAATTATAACTATTTTGTCACCCTTAATTTTAATTTTATAGTCTAAAAAATAATAAATTTTTGTTCATTTATTGATTTATACTTTTAAATTTTATTCCTTTCTAGTAAAAAATATTTTATTTTATATAATTTTGTTGAATTTTTTTCTAAGAATATTTAATTTTTCTCATTTGTTTTTTACTATGCTATTTCGAGATAAATAAAAAAAGACAATATTAAATAGATAAAAAAAAAAATCAATATTTTATCCCCTAAGAATTTCAGCGCTGGTTCCGTCCCTGCGTATAAATATATGATATATATATATATAATGCTTTTAATATTTTAGAGAGAAAGTGATATTAATGGTGGTGATTAGTCATCAAAATACACTCGTTGTATCATGAAATTTACACATAAACTACATATGTCATTGTGCATGAAAATGAATCAAGGTATTAATTTTTATGATAAGTCATAACAGTAAATGATATAGAAACAAACTCTAACTAAATCGATAATAATTTCAATTGTACAAACCAAATTAGTTGTAATTAAAATAATCCCAATAATGATAATGATCATAGTGTTTTTTTTTTTTTTCAATTTATTTATTTTAATGATCATAGTTAAAGACAAGATAAAGAAAGTGTACGGAACAAACAAATATCCATTATTGCAGCAATTAATAATTCCTATATTGTTTATTGAAATCTGATTAGACTCCATCATTCACTTATTAATAAATCATTTGTGCATATAATTAGAACTGTCAAAACGAGTTAGTGGGGCGAATTGACCCACAATCCGCAAATAAAAGGGTTATTTGCAGGCCAATCTGTGGCGAGCTAAGCGGGCTAGCCACATGCTTTTTAAAAATATTAAAAAAATATTAATATTATAAATATTTTCGGAAGTAATATTTAAAAATAGCTAAAAATAGTTTTATTATAAAATTTAAATAATAAATATTTTAAAGTAAATAACAAATATAAAAATTCTCAATTCTAAATATTATTAATTGGTGTATTTAAAAAAAAATTAATAATAAGAAATACTTCATGTTAAAAATAAATCATAATTAATTTTATAAATTTATAAAATTATAAAATAATAAAATGGAAGACAAACAAAACAAATGATGAAAAATCGAAACAAATAACAATGTAATGAATAACATAGTTAGAGAAGAAAAACAATGTGTAAACAATATTGATAATTTATTTATGCTAATGATAATATAAATTTTATTTTTATTGATTTTAACTCATTTATAATTGGTATGTTTGTAATTTATAATAAAATTAAAATATATACATTAGTTTTATTATAATTTTTTAATATGACAGTAAAAAATGGTAAAAAAATATATTTAGTTAGACGAGTTAGTACTAATTATTATATTTACTTGATCCGCGGACTAACCCGCCCCACTGCGGGCTAATCCACTCTCAACCCGCGGTCTATGCGGGTTGGCCGATTTAAGCCCGCATTTTAACGGGCTTAAAAAATCACAATTCAACCCTCCGTAAAAATAAGGCGGGGCAGGCCAACCCGACAGACTCAATCCATTTTGACAGCTCTGGGTATAATAGCGATAATAAATATTATCTATATCAAAATTTTCTATTATTATTAAACATATTGGTTAATATAACAGAGATTAAATTGTAAATATTTATAAAATAAATAAATTAATAAAATATATATATATATATATATATACACACATAGCGAAGAAAAAAGTATGGCAACGGAACTCATTTTCAATGGTATCCGATTATTTTTGTTAAATCTATATTAAATATGTTAGTGCATACAAAAACTCATTTATTTTTATTTTTTATTCAAAAAAATAAAAAATAAAAAATAAAAAATAAAATAAAAAATGGAGGTGACATATAATAATGGAGAACGTCAATAACGTGAACAGCGTTTTCAGGCCAACCGAACAATTGCTACAAAACAACAACTAATAGCAACACTACAAAGTGGTGTTGATAAATCTTAATCATTAAATAAAATACTGCCTCCGTTCCAATACAATAGTCTTGTTTACCATTTTTGTCCGTCAGAAAAATAATAGTCTCATTTCCATAAATACTCCTATCACCATAAAATTATTCTTACTTTTTCATTATTATTACACAAATGTCACTACTTTTTATACTAATACATTCACAAGGACAAAAAAGTATTTTATTCATACTTTTAACCGATTGTCAATATAATATCAATATTCCTTAAATCATGTACCCAACTCAAATAAGACTATAGTTTTAGGACGAAGGGAGTATGACCTATCAATACACAGACTTCAATTATTACATATACTGTATAAATTGTTACTATGTGATATCACCTTATATTTTAATTTTACAAATATGATGTATTAACATTTTTTTTTACATAGACTGTTGAGAGATACTGTCAGATTATATTTTGTATTTATATTATATTAATATATATATATACCTAATATATACTCGATTTATATCTTATGCGTTATCTATTTATATTTTATGTACTATCAATACAATATTTAATTTAAATAAGTATATATCATAGTTGCCGCCATATGTATTGTTATCATTTTTCTTTAAGTCGATTTATTACAAGGATGCACATTTTCGAGTTGGAAATTATTGACACTTAAAAAATGGCTCATTATTCATTTTTTTTTAAAAAAAAATTATCAAATCAATTATATATTTTTATTTAATATATTATAAAAACATCATTTTTTTTATTTTTTTTTTTAATATTCAAAACTACATATAGAAAATTAATTTAATTCAACTTTATATAGATGTATGCTTCATTGATCCTTGTAGGCTTGTAGCATAATTGCATTTGACTTCTTATACTAAGTTTTGGACATTATGAAAAGTTCTTTTTTCAATATTTAAAGGTGTTTTCATTCAATATATTTTTAATTGTATGATTTTTCGTAAATATTATAAAAATATAATAAATATAATTTTATTCACTAATAAAAATTAATATTCAACCCAATTAAAATATTTTTTTTATATTATTAACATGATTTTATGTATTTAATATAAAAATATATACATCCAATAAAACATATAAAATAAAAATAAACACGCCCTTAATATAATATTGCTTTTAGAAGAATATTTTAGTACAAGATAATATGTAAGAAACAAGAAAAACCCTAAATTAGGGTTAATAAATGAATAATATATTAGTTCCCCATGTGAGAAAGAAAAGGAATAAGATAAGTATTAAGTGCTTAATTTAATATTGTAGTGCACTTTATAATAGAGACTATTAAAATAAACAAAAGAAAAAAAAAAAAAGAAAAAAAAAGAAGAGGTAGTGGTTTTTGTCACGTAGTGGTTTATAATTTTTTCGACTATTTAGCATAAAACTAAATAATTAAAAAAAAAACTAGAATTATAGTCTGAATTATCTTTGATACGAGATTTAAGGAATATTGATATTATATTGATAGTGGGTAAAAAATATGAATAAAAGATTTTTTTGCCCTTGTGAGTGAATTAATGTAAAAAGTAGTGGCAATCGTGTAATAATAATAAAAAAAATAAGTGTAGTTTTATAGTAATATGATTATTTATGGAAATGAGACTATTGTTTTGGAACGAACAAAAATGGTAAATAGGGCTATTGTATTGGGACGGAGGGAGTATTAGATTGTAGTGAAAAATATAAAAATACCCTATTAGTATTGAAGTAATAATATTTGTGTAATGTATTGTAAATTGTAAGAGTATTTATTATGTTAGGCATGTAATACAATTATTATTTTAGAAAACAGTATGTTTGTTTTTGGACGAAAAAAAATAAAAATAAAACTTTTTTTATAGGAGAGAAGGAGTAATTTTTTTATGATACGAAAATCTGCAACTGCTATTTTCCGAATGCACTTTGGGTAAGCTACATGTCAAATCTAATAACCTAAAAACTAAGCCTGCAAAGCAAGTCATATTAGGCGAACATGTGTGACAAACAAGACCTATATATTGAAAGTTTGAATATATAGCTTCATGATCACGAAATCACCCTACTCCGTTAATTTGTTTTGTTTTATTTATTTATATATTTATTCACATGGGATGTGTTTTAACTTATCTTTATAAGACAAATCTTGAGAGTGACATCTTCAAATATTTTCTTATATACTCCGTCCTTCCATGTAATATGGGATTATTCCAGTAGATAAAAGAATTTAGATAAAATATAATTAGTAAGTAATTAAAAAATATATTAGTAAAAATTATTATAGATTAAAATTAAAATAACTAAATAGTTTAATTAAAATAAAAAAAAAACGATATAATTTAAATTTTAAAATGTGATTAAAGTGTATAATCATATTTCAAAGAAAATAACAAATTATATGGGACGGAAAAAATAAAAAACATGAATAAATTATATTTGACGGAGGGAGTATATAGTCAAGAAAAATAGTTTCAATTTGGTTTGTTACTTTTGTTCTTTCTTGAAGTGTGAAATTGCCTACATATTTGTTATGTTTAAATATATATTTTGGAAGTTTTTTTTTTTTTTAAATGTTTAACATTTTAAATAAATAATAAGTATTTGATATCATATTATTTTTTTAAAAAAAATAATTATGGTTAATAAATAGTTAAATACTAACAAACATGACCTTGTATTTTGATATGTTGTGAAATACAATGTTTAGTTTGGGTTCCCGTAATTAGTTTGTTTGTTTTGTGTTTTGGTTCGGAGGAAATTTTTTATATGAATTATAGAAAATTGAATAAATAATATAAAAATAACAATGGTGTGTAATAATATATTACTCACTCCGTCCGACTCAAAGGTTTCATTTACTTTTCCGTCATTATACTTAATATTAAAAATGTCCTTATATTTGTATTATTTATTTGCATAAATATCATTATGATAGTATTTTAAGACACTAATAGAAGTATTTTTCTCATTTTCCATTGATTTGTACTACGTTTTCATATAATAATTATTATTCAAATATCAACACGTAAAAAGCAAATGAGATCTTTATAGCTGAACAAATGTAGTAATATTTTTTAAAAAATATGTTGAATATATTTGAGAAAAAAGATTACATGTTAATCCTCTTATTTTACAGTATATCTATTTTTCATTATTATTTAATCATCACAATTTCTAAAATAGTAGTATTATCATACTCGCTCATCCGTCCATTAATTAATTATGTATCTATTTGTTTTTTGCACAGAGTTTTATAAATATTAATATTATATTAGAGTATGATATGAATAAAGTAGAAAAGACTAAAATAACTTAGTATTGTATGATATAACATTTTTGTAATATATTGTAAGATGTAAGAGTATTTTTAATGTTAGTAGAAATTTCAATTACTAAAAAATATATAGATATTTTGTTATAGGACAGACCAAAATAGATAGATTATTAAGGGATCGAGGGAATATTTAAATTACTGTTAAAAAATAATAATAACTAAAATAAAAATTTAGTGTGTTTGTTTGGATATTTGGATTTAAATAGTACAAATTTAAATTTAAATAATTATTTAATATAATATAAATAAAATTATTATAATATTTTGAATAAAAAATTAATATTTTGTGTAATAATATAAAAAAATAAATAAATATTCAATTTGATATTTTTGAAATTAATATATATATATATATATTTGTGAATAATAGAAGCTAAATAAATTCACCCAAACAGACAGGAATTTCTTCCAAAACTCACTTGGACGTCTTTTACCAAAACTTCATATGAACTTTCCAAATTGCATAAAAATAATCTTTAAGTATGGAAGAAAAGCTATACACACAAACATACATACATAATACATACAACATGAGTTAAGTTAGGCCATATTGAAATCTTTATCTTCTGCAGCAATGGATTTCTTACAGTGAGCAATGGCTGCCTGAATTGCCGCCTGAAGTTCTTCCATGGTGCTGTCACTCTTCGTCGGAGTTACAGTCCCGCTCGCCGTCGCCGCCGCAACGAGAAGGCCGCTATTGGTCGGAGAAGTTCTCATCGACGCCGGCGCCGAGTACTCGCCTCTCCTCTTCCTCCACTCCTTATTCTTTACCACTTCCAACGTGCCGGAAAATGAGTACGGCGGCTGCCGGCGGAGTTGCGAGTTCCCGCGCCGCCGATTCCGGAGCCGCAAAAACGGCGTGACCAATCTCATATACTTCTTGACAACCCTGCTTACGTCGAGCCTCGCTTTCCGCCGCTCCCGCTCGTCGTCTCGATCGCGACGATCCCTTTTCGCCGACGTTTCTTCCGTCGATTTCCGCCACTTGGGCAATCCGAACAACGAGAAAGATTTCGCCTTTCGCCTTGTCGATTCCTGTTCGAGATTGATTTGACAATCGATGCGCCGATCGTTAATTTCGTCGTCGTCGTCGTTTCTCGTCATCGAGTTTATGACAACCTTGTCGCTGTTGTGTTTTGGTAGCTCGTTGATCGGGATAGTGAAGCTATCCGATGAATTCGTCGAGGATCGCGGCGGCGATGATGTGGCATGGGGGTGGGGGTGGGGGCGGGGGTGGAGGGGGAGTAGGTGGCCATGGCAAAAAATTTCATCAGCTGGAGATAAGTCTATGGCCAAAGGGTGGGGGGACTTAGAATTTTTTTCTTCGATTTTCGGCGCCGTCGAGACGGCGAAGGAGAATTCATGGGAAGGGGACGACGAAGAGGTTGCCGCAGCTACATTGAGTTGTACCGGCTGCTTTGCCGGTTGTACGCTGCCGGAATCCGGTCGCCGGCGGCCTTCACTAGACACTTGATGATGCCTATCCATGGGCCTTTAATTTTGTGATAGAAAAATATGAAGTTGTTCTATGTTGATAAGGATAATGAAGAGAGGAAAAGACATGGAAGTTTTGGGAGATTGTGGGTTTGGCCTTAAGTTGTGTTTATATTTTGCAATAATATATGAAGTGGGCTGTCTTTTTTTTGTTGCCTAAAAGGTCTTTTTCATTTCAACAGCTATGAAGAATTGGCCTTTTGTAAACACTCAAGATTAAAGGTTTTTTTTTTTTATGTTCTTTTTTTTTTTTTTCGTATTTTTTACTAAATTTTTTTTTTTTTATTTTAGTAAAAATATTATACATTAATATCAAAATATGCTTGCTTTTTACTTAAATTATAAAATTATTATTATACATATAGTTACTTTATATATAAAGTCTAACTGTAAAATGTAAAAAAAAATTTACACACTTTTACTAATTCATGAAATACTGTTATTTATTAATCTCTTGTAAAACTCCAAAAGAGTACATTGAGTATGACAGATAGAGTATGGATACTTATTTTCTTTTTATGACCTGAAATTATATAGCTATTATTTTTTAAGTGCATTTTGTATTTATTTTTTACCAGTAAACTAAATTACACTAGATAAATCACATTTTAATGCAAAATCATATTTATAATTTCTTGCCACGCAATGGCATGGGGAGTGAAAGGTACCGAATTGTCCCCATGTTTTTGTTCAAGAATTATTCTTGGTGTAAGGTGAATTGACTTTTGGATGATTTTTATATAAATTTTTATTACACTCTATAATAATTAATAATAATAATCAAATGATACACAATCCCTATAATATGGAATTCAACAACAAAATATACAAAAACCCAAAAACACACTATTTATTCAGGGGTGGATCCGGTGCTAATGGATGCACTATTAGCACCATACTGATAGAATATGTACCGTCTATTTATAATAAATAAATTTGAATAGTTTAGATTAAAGAAGGATAATATTGTCCTTTTAAGTCCAAAAAATTTAAAGAGTGAGTTTGTATCTACGTAAATTTATCTTTATCTTTACACTCTATTTTTTCTTTCGTTTCATTTTCTCTCTCGCGGGCAGCGCTTCCCTAGCCCTAACAACCGCCACCATATTCTTCTTCTCTATGTATTTTCTCCTCACTTTTTCTTTTTCCTCCGAACAATTTATCACCAATTGTCCAGATCGCTGCCGAAAATCACCATTCTTCTACCAACCCAGGATCCGCCACGAACCACCACCGTCGCTCAATTGGCCCGCCGCGAACCTAAGTTTATTTCGGCATTTTCTAATCTGGTATTTTGATGGTTTTTTTCTATTTGGATATTAGTTTACATCAGTAGTGTACATGAAAATATGTTTATAGTATTTTTTTGTGGCAATTTCTAGATAACATAATGTTTGATAGTACAATAACATGTTAAACACAATACAGGGAGATGCTTGTTCGTATTAAATAAAATGATAGGTACAAAATACCTAAATGCTTATTCATCCTTTTTTTTATTTGTGTTAATAGGTTTTGGAAAGTATGTTTAGAATTTATTTTTTGTGGCATTTTCTAGATAAAATTTATAGTATTTGATAATAAAGTAAGATGCTAAATACAATAACATATTTGTTTATTGGTACTCAGTAAAATATTTAATTTAATATATATAAATGCTTATTATACGATATTTATAATATTTTGCAATTAAATAGACTGATATGTTGTTAACATTGTTTTCTTTAGTGCTGGAGCAATAGCCAAATATTGATCCGTAAAAATAAATTTTGGTGCACGACCATCCATGTACTTAAAAAAGATATTGAAAACCCACTTGAATGAATCTTGTGTTTCTTTATACAACAACATTGTCCCAAATATAGTTGTTTGGCGGTGATTATTAAATCACACGAAAACACCTAATGTTGAAGTATTGTTACAATAAAATATATGAAAACAAGTTACGAGATGCTTACAAGATGTTGTGTACATTGTATCAAGATGCTTATTTATTATAGAAGATGAAATGCGGAATAACAGAAGATGAAATGTTTACTACCGAAGTACTGTATTTGATGCGAATCGATTTTGAATAATGAATAATTGATTTTGTTTGTCTCCGTCAATTTCATCCATTAATTTTGTTGGAAGAATTTTAGTCATTTTTCTACTTAAGGAGGCGAAGATGAATGTATGTCTAAGTTAGTTATAAAATTTAAAAAATTTGAAAATTATTATTAAACCCCTAAATTAATACACGCTTTAGGATTAAAAATTGTAATTTAATAGTTAATATTGAATCAGCTTCATGCTGAACTTTATAGCTCGGCACCTAATCTCAATAAAGTGTAATGTATATATTGTTTTAGATACAAATTTAGTGTATATATATTTAATCCAAGTCAACTGTATAGAAACATATGCTTTGTAGTTTATATTGTATACTGTAATGATAAATATATTTATTTTGTTGAAAATTATATTGGATTATATGAAAGTATATTATATACTGTCAAAATATATATTGTATATTATATTATTATGTATTGGCAAATATGTACGCTACTACCTTATTATTATTATTATTATTATTATTATTATATACTAATTGAATCAATATCATTCGGCATTAAAACCAAAGCAGTATAAATATATATATATATTTCTCTCTAGGAGTAAAAATAATTTTTTTAAAAAAATTGACATATTATCAAAAATAAATTCGACATATTATACGATGCAATGGTGTAAAGATGGACTCATAATTTTAATATATTATCAATACATATCTCCATAATTAAGTAAAAAAAATTATTTCAAATTAAATAAAAAATAAACACACCCAATATTTCATGAAAATAATATTATACTCCCACCGTCCACTTACAATGTTTACATATTTCTATTTTGGAACGTCCAATTACAAAGTTAACATTTCATTAAATAACCTACTTTTTTCAATAAATACCTTTACTTTACATCACATCATTACTTTTACACAAAAAAAAGTAAGGGCAAAAATGTCATTACACTGCTTTTAACTATTCACTGTAATTAAAATACTATTATTTCTTAAATACCGCGCCAAAAGTAAATGTAAACTTTGCAAGTAGACGGATGAAATATATATTTTTTTATATATAGAAAACAATGAAAGTTGAATACAAAAATCTTTGAACAGCAAAAATACCAAACACACCCAAAACTTGTGCCTGAGTTTAAAATTTGAAACTCAAATATCAATAGCAGAGGAAGCCGAAGATCTTATTTTGTATTATATATTTTATATTTCTTTACTATACAATTCTTACTACTATAAAAATATATTACTTCGTATTACAAAATATCATATTAAATTATCCTTGCAATAATAAAATACTCCTTCTGTTGTATTGATCTTATGTCAATACTGTCGTTTTACTCTATGTCATATATTTTTTTCTACTTTATTTTATTTATAAAAAAATATATACTTTAATTATATTTTAAATATATTAATTTATATTATTTTTAATTTTAATTTTAATACTCTATCCGTCCTTTAAAAAAAATAAATATTTTATTAAAAAATAATAGATAGTTAAGGATATTTTTAAAAATTTAGTTAAAAGGTAAAGTAAATAAAGATAGAGAATGTAATAAAGTTAGTGGTATATGTTGTAAATAAGTGTTGAATGAAGGGTAATAATTAAATGTTGATTTTTTTACTTTGTCAAAATCAGTAATGTGATAAATTTAGTGGACGAATTAAAAAGAAATGTGAGAATAAATTTGGGGGACGGAAAGAGTATATAATTATTTGTATTATACTATAATTATTTTTACTAATACATATTTTTACTTATATGTACTCCCTCAGTCATTCAAATTTATAGTCATTTTCCTTGTTGAGTTATCATCGAAAACTATTTTCGTTTTTCTTTTTAAGTAAAAAATTATTACATTTTTGTACTTTTTTTACTATATAAAAAAATAATTATTATTACTCACATTTATTAATTCTCGTATTCCACTACAAAAAAATAATATATTTGTAACGGAATTTCGTCCATAAAGTTAACGCAGCTAACGTAATTCCATTACTAATTCCGTCTATAATGTCATTAGTAACGGAAAAAGTAGATTTATAGACAAAAAAGTTTTGTTACAAAAATGAATTTTTCTTGTAATGTTCGGTCAAATAAGCACAGATTTGGATGACGGATGAAGTATTATTTATATATATATATATATATATATATATGAGATGGGTAGAATAATAGTAGGAGCGGATCCGTAGTTTGCTTACGAATAGTTTGATATGCAAAAGGATTCCCATCCCGTGAAGCGATCTAAAATAATAATAATAATAATAATAATAATAAAGGGGATTTTATTAATTTGTGAGAAGATTTTGAATGGATTTTGTGTACCAAAGCTGTGTCTAATAATTCCACATTTACTGTCCCCACCATAAAATTTCAATTTCAATTTCAATGATCCATCTATCTTTATTATTTAATTTATTTTTATTTATCGAACAGACAACATGGATGGTTCAAATAATTCTTTCCTAGTACACCCTTGCCATTACCCATTCAATTTAACTTAAAAAAGGCAAGACACAAATGGGAATATTCATTACAACAATTATTCTTACTGAGCCGAGCACGAACACAATTAATTCTTGACGTTTTGTGGGCTATACGTACGTACGCACGTGCACGTAATGGTCCACGGGCGCCGTGTTGATGCAGAATTGAAGAGTTTGTGTTCGATCGCTTAATTAGTTAAGGGTCGACATCACAATCATCGAAGAATTATTTGTATGGGCAGAGACAGAGGCAGAGAGAATCTCGTCCACTTAATATGAAAAATAATAATAATAATAATAATGTTGCAATAATCCCTAAAGATAAGAAAAAAATTGCAAAAAGGTAAAGAAGATTGCAAAGTTTTTGTCTCATTTCGCATTGTTTGCTAAGAATTCGTATCGTTTTGGACAATGTTCGAAAGGTAAAGCACGTAAAAAAGAAGAAAGCTATAGGGATGCGTTTGGGTATCGTTTCGACTCCAAGTTAGCGGCGGCGAGTAGGGTGTTGATTAGGGCTAATTAGCCGGTGACTGTGTAAAAAGTTATAATAGTACTGATAATATATAAAAAGATTTCGTACAATATATGACAATTAATATAAATATATATTATACTTCTTCCGTCATTCTCTAAAAATTACATTTAAAAATATTCTTATATTTGTATAATTTTGTGATCAAATATCGTTCTATTAGAATTATAAAATATTAACAAAAGTATTTTTGCAATTTTTTTCTTATTTTGTATTATGTTGTGATATAATAATTAATATTAAAAAATCAACACACAAAAAGTAAATGAGATTTTAAAGTCGGACGAAAATAATATAATAAAATAATACTAAAAAATAAATTAATTAAACTAAAAATATTTTTTTAATATAATTTATATTATTAAAAATTATTTTATTAGTAATATATTAATCAGGTCAGGTCCGGACAGGGTTGACCCCTGGACCCGGACCCAATCAGATACCAAAGTAATTGAACTCAATCTCAAATAAATAGTTAGATCGGATCGGATCTCGGGTCGACCAGAATCCATTGCCTCGGGTCAACCAGAATCCATTGCCATTCCTACCGGCGACGACCTAAGTTCGGGGGAGTCTAATTCGGTAGAGGAATTGAGCTGGGAGGAGCGGGCTGGTGGTGAAGCAGAGGGACGGTGACGGTGACGGTGACGGCGGCGGAATGTTGAAGGCCATGGCTAGATCGGAATAACTAACGACTGGATTAACGGCGTCAATGCCTCCGGCGAGGACAGTTCCTCCCATTTGAAGAAGCAATTCGAATCTTTTTAATTTCCTCATCTTCTTCGCCAAATTAGGGTTTTTTTTCGCAAAATTGGGTATCCAAAAACCCCCAAAAAAATTCTGCCCAAATTTTCCCAGATTGTTTCTCAAATTGGATATCTTATTGGTGATCGATCTGCTGCGCCGGTCACCGCGTCCTGCCACAATTCCATTCCCAGCAACGCTTTGCCATGGCTTTCTTTCAAACATGGTCTAGAATGTTTGTTTTGATCCAGAGCCGATTTCACATTGTAGATCCGTCATGCACGTAAGTGTTTTGTTGGTTTATCAAAACGATTAAAATTTTTTTAGACAACATGGTAATAATTTTTTTTGTGTCTCGAAACTCAACGTAAATTATTATTTTATTTTTAAAAATTGCATGAGATCCTTTTATACTTTCAACAACAATGCATGAAACTCCTATGTGGTTTCGAAACTCATCGGAAATCTTTACTTTATTTAAAAAAATATTTTATGAAACTCTTTACCATGTAAATCATATTCTCATTATACAACGAAGGTTTCGTGGGGTAGAATTTCATGAACGTGTTTTTTTAAAGTATAAGAGAGTGTTAGTGCAATTTTTAAAAAATAAAAATATTTTACGCTTAATGAAATTACAGGGGAATTATGACCAATTTTATCAAATTTTTATAATAACTTTTTTATATTAAAATTAGTAATTAATAATTCTTTATTTAAGTTGAACCAACTTTGAACTTTTTCCACTATTTTTATATAAAAGTATGAAAAAAGAATGAATAAACTAAATACGCATATTCAATTAGAGTTTATTAAATTTATTGAATTCTTAAATTTGATGTATTTAATTAAGATTTTTTAAAAAATATTAAAAAAAGTTTAGTGTATTAAATAATGGATTTTAAAAATTTATAGGTTTTATTGGATTTTTTAATAAAATTATTAACAAACTATTATATAATCTCTTGAGTTGAAATTTCAGTAAATTTTCAAATCTTAAAAAATACATATTGTTTCTTTATATTATTAGTAATTATTTATTATTTTAAAAGTAAATATAAATTATTAATATTTTAAAAGGAAAAAATCAATCAATTTTTGTCCTAATATATAAAAAAAAAATTTATCAATTTTAATTTCATTATAAACAATTTCAATCAATTTTGGTCAAACCGTTAAAAAATTAACGGAATTTGCTGACGTTGACATAATGGAGGTGACATGGCAGCTGACCTAAAACCATACGGCCATGTACAATTATATACGGTCATGTTGTTACACGGTCATGTATATTTCAATGTGTAATTATACATGGTCATGTTGTTACACGGTCATGTATAATTTTACAAGGTCGTGTACATTTCTGTTTTAGTCTAAAATTTTATTTTTTTATTATATTTTTTTAAAAAAAATTATTTTGAATTTAAAATAGTTGATATAGTTAAAATGAATAAAATCAATAGTAATCATAATATAATTATAATTTATCAATTTTAATTCAAATATAAAAATTTATAATATATATTCTTTTGAAAGAATTTTGTTTAAAATTCTATTACTCATAAAAAATTTTCCTCTTACAAAAATTCAATTACATAACTATTTTTTTATTTTGTATATTACAGTAGTATTAAAATCTTAGACAAAATAATAGAATTTTAGACAAAATCTTCCAAAAAAATATACTCGATAAATATTTATATTTAAACTATCTTTGACATTTAACTATATCAACTATTCTAAATTAAATAATAATAATAAATTAAAAATATAAAAATATAAAAATAAAATAAAATTTTAAACCAAAACAGAAAGGTACACGGCCGTGTAGAACTATATATGGTCGTGTAACAACATGACTATGTATAATTATACACTGAAATATATTTGTACATGACCGTGTAACAACATGACTATGTATAATTATACACTGAAATATACATGGTCATGTGACAACATGACCGTGTATAATTGTACGTGGCCACGTAGTTTTCAAGTCAGCTGTCACTTCAACAATTTCTGTTAAATTTTTAATGGTGAGACCAAAATTGATTGAAATTATTTTTAATTGGATTAAAATTGATGAATTTTTTATATTTAGACTAAAATTGATTGGTTTTTCCTATTTTAAAATTTTATATATTTGAAATAATATTAAAAATTATATATATTTAAAATAAAAAAAATAGATTTTTTCAAGTGATTCGAATCAAAATTATTAGTTTTTTTTTTTTTTTAAAGTCAAATCGAAATTAAATTTTCCATAACTTTTAATTTGTATTTTTTTTAATTTCGATTTCAGTTAGTTGATTTCAGTTAAACCACCGTTGATTTTAATGTACATTATTAGTTTATATTTATTCCTCTCAATTAAAAAAAAACTGTAATTTTAATATAATTTTATTTAAAAATATATTTTTTTTATGTAAAAAACTATATAAATAATAATAATAATTAAATAGATTGCTACAAGATATAAATTAATTACGTTGAAAAAGTAATATAACAAATTCAATCAAAATGATAATATAACAAAAAATTAAATTGTAAATTATTATTATTATTAAAATAAAAATGAAAATAATAATAATAATACTCCCTCCGTCCCCAATCTATCTATCCATTTTGTTTATGCACGAGATTTTAGGAATATTTGTATTATATTGGGATAAAGTAGAAATAAAGATAAAATGACTAAATTAATCTTATTAGTATTGTATGATATAAAGGTAATGACATTTGTGTAATATATTGTAAATTAGAAGGGTATTTGTAACGTTAGGTAGATAGTACAATTACTAAAAAATAAAATAGATACTTTATTATGGGACGGATCAAAATGAAAAAAATGAATAAATTGTTAAGTGACGAAGGGACTATATATATATTTTTAGAATGAATACATTTCTAAAATTTTGTTAAATGTTTATATAAACAAATGTACTCCATATATTCAAAATTATATAAATTAATAAAAAAATTATTTAATCTATTAATTTATACACTATAATAAAATCCAGATACATCAACAAATATTCAATTAAATCTATCAAAATCTATATAAATAATTAAACAAAATTAATTAAATAAATTTTACAGAATTTTTAAATCCATTCTAAACAAATCAAATAGGGTGCGTTTGTTGGCGGGTTTAAGTTTTGGGTTTGGATTTTAAAATAATAAAAAATTGAATTTGAATAATTTTTTGATGTGATATAAATAGAGATTGATATGATATTTTAAATGTAAAATAAATTTGTAATACAATATAAAAAAAAAATTATTTGACCTACTCCTTTCGTCCCATGTAATATAGATGTATTACTGTAGACACCAGAATTTAGGTAAAATATAATTAGTAAATAATTAAAAAATATATTAGTAAAAATAATTATAGATTAAGATTAAGACAAGTAAAATGTTTAATTAAAATTAAGAAAATTATAAAATTTAAAATACGATTAAAGTGCATAATTATATTTCAAAAAATAGAAAGGACAAGTTACGTAAGACGGACGAAAATAAAAAATAGAAACAAATTATATGGAACGGAGAAAATAATATTTTTAAGAAAAAAAAAAATCTTAATAAAAATATGTGTAAAACCCAAAAAAAACATATGGTTAACATTATAATGGAATACAACCCCTAAAATTCATTAGGCATGGGCAACTTTTACATTTTGATCAAACTGACCATATTAGCCTTCAATTAGAGTGAATTGACGCTATTACCCTCGAGCTGCTTCATTTGCTAGTTCTACAAAAGTTCTGGAGTGCAGACAACCTCGATTTCGCTGTTTATGAATTTAGGGAAACTTTGATGATAGGTCGGAGAAGAAGGCGAAGGATATAGCAAGGCGAGCGGCCGCCGATGGCGAGACTCGAATGGGGGAAGAACATTGGCCGATGCTCCTACAAGAGGATTACTCTCGTAGTTTGTTCCGTCAACATTTTTGTTGCTCTCTATGTGCTCCGCTTCCTCTACAGTTCGCTCTACGCTTATCCTTCAAGTGATCATCACACCAGTGAGTTTCCGTCGAGAAACGGTTTGATTTCGAAGGGGGTTCGTGATTGCCTTATTTGCTGCTTCGGGTTTTCTGAAAAAACTCGTTTAGGGATTTTGTTGGATTTAGTGATGCGTTGTTGAAATTGGTTGGTTTGGATGACATTATTGCTTGTTTCTGTGGTATTTATTTGTTGCAATTACGATTTCTTATCTTTTGATTATGCGTGCCCTGTAATTACAGCATATGAGTTCAGTATAGTTCAGATCAGGAAAATGGAAGAGTCGAATCAGATTAGGAAAGAATCGGAACCAACTAAGCTTATTGAATTGGTGAGTGGTATGATCGATTAGTTCAGGAAGTACTTCACCGTAAATAAGGATTATATATATATGTATATATGTATATTGTTTTGCTGCTTTTGATTTGTTTTCTCGATGATGTAATGGCGGATATCTTGTCTGTGGTTGAAGGCGGCAGAGTTAAAGGAAAAGATCAAAAGTGAAGAAAGAGTGATGGAATTGCCAGGACATTTGAAGCAGAAGTTTATTCATGAGATTCTAGCTATGTTAAGAAGCATGGAGTCTTCTTCGGCCAATACAACAGCATTACAGGGTTGGTGCAGTTTTGATTTGATATATATAGTTTGTGTTATTGCCAATTTTTATTTACATTCAGTGGATCTTTGGTGTTGAGTTCTAAGTGTTTGGGAAGGTTTAATATTCCATCTTGAATGAGAATGGGTTACTGGTTTTTCCTACAATGATAGGTTCTCATGTCTTGAAGTGTGTTGTTAATTGGCATTTTGATTTGCTGTATTCGGTAAGTAATAGTTGTGTTTTAGCAGTTAGAATTCTGTAGCTGCCTTTTGCAAGGGCATTATCGAACAAATCTTTAATAAGCCATAGCCCTTTGATCTCCCATTCGCTGCCTATTCGTGGATCAATAGAATGATCCAAACCAAAGATACGAGCATTGTGTGTGAATTGCCTGTTTTTAAGAATCGCGATTTTTTTCTTTTGTGTTTGTTCTCTGTTTTGATGTTTTTGAAGTGAATTAGTTGTTGGATGTGATATTTTGTTTTGATGCTTTTTAAGTGAATTAGTTGTTAGATGTGATATTTTGTATGAAAAATAGGTATTGGATATTATGTTTTTGGAGGAAAATTGAGAGATTGAATCGTAAGAAAATACAAAGAGAGCAAACCTTCTTCACTGAACAAATAGAAGTACTTTCCAGATCTATCTCTATTTGAACACTTTAGAAACTAGTTCTATGGATAATGTTCGCACATTTTTCAAGAAAGGGTTGATTACAATCGCACAAGGTTGAAGGGTATGTCTGAATTGTACCATTTAGTTCGTATTTATTAACCTACGGAGATTAAATAACCCCGAGTAAATGCCATGTAGTAAAACATGGCCTTAGTTAATGTGCATCTAAGTACTTCTCTCCTTCTGTAGAATCAGAGAAATGTGAGCTTTACTTGATTGCAACTAACTTTTAGAGAAACTCAACAGTATGTTAACCGTAAACTGATCTAATTGTAGCAATTAGTTCGGATTCATTAATCTACAGGAATTAAATTATCCCGACGAAATGCCATGTAGTAAACATGGCCTTGGTACGGATTTGGTACTTTTCTCCTTCTGTAGAATCAGAGAAGTGTAACCTTTACTTGATTTAAACAATGAACTGATCGAAGAACACTGATGTTTGGTAATTTAAACAATCCGGTGCTTTTCCTCTATGAATTCCCGATAAATTTCTCTGTCTCATGCTGTTTGTCCCCTTTTTTTCTCGACAGCGGCAATTGAATCCTGGCGCAGGCAAACATTAAAAGAAGCTAAGAGAATCATCCGTGGTGAAATTAAAAATTCAACGATTTTGCCTGAAGAAGCCGGTATGTTCATTCTCCCGACTATCAATAATTAGCCACAATTCTACAAAACCTGCACATTTAATTTCTTCTATCCATCTGTAGGCATTGTTGAAAATGCTTTGAGTTCTCATTGGTCTGTGTTGTTGGAAGAGATCGGTCTCTGGCTGCCGGTAGAAATCGTTCACAAGGTACATGATGAGAAACCCGACGACGAACCCGACTACGGTATGGTAACTTTTGCTGTTTTTACTTTTTACTTTTCACATCGTAGTTTCAGTTGTTTTCTCAGGCATGGAATTCATTCCCATTTTCCAGATCTCGAAACCCTTCCCGGAAAAAGACCACCACCTGAATGCCACGCCGAGCTTCACACTGACTACGACGGTTCTGCCGTTAAATGGGGCCTCACGCACCATCAAGAGTCGGCTTACGATTGCTGTATGTCGTGTTTGAACCAAGCGAAAAATGCAAAACCCGGCCAAAAGAAATGCAACATTTGGGTCTATTGCCCGTCCGAAACCGGATGCTATTCGCCGGACATTTACGAACACAAGAACCAGGAATGCTGGCTAAAATTCGTGAGTTTCTCTGATTATTATAATTCGATAGTAAAATTGTTCATAACACCCCTGCGGTTTCAAAATTCAGTTTAAATCCATATGTACTTTAAAAATTGCATGCCGGATGTTTCATGCAATATTTTTTAAAGTATAAGAGAGCGCAATGCAATTTTAAAGTACAGAGAAAACCACAGGGGAGTTATGGGCAATTTTGTCTCGCTAAAATTCGTGAGTTTCTTCGATTATTATAATTCGGTAGCAGAATTATCCATAACAACCCCTGTTCTTTCAAAACTCCGTGCAAATTCTCCTATAATTTTAAAATTGCATGGCGGGGGTTTCATGCAACAATTTTGAAAGTATAATGGGGCACGATGCAATTTTCAAAATACAGGGAGGACATATACTGAATTTCGAAACCATATGGGAGTTATAGACAATTTTGCCTAATTCGATAGAGTTTTTAAATTGAAGCTTGTTCATCCACGCAGTCGGAGACACCCAAGTTGAATTTCAAGGACACCTATCCGGAATCCTATCGAGCGACTCACCCCAGAGCGCCAATTGTTGTCCCGTGGGTGTCCGGAGTTGTTAGCACGTGACGCAGGTGCGCGTCGCGGCGTATCGACGACGAAATCGGGCCCTTGAAAGGGGACTTCTGTAGCTGTTTTCTCCTCCAGGGCTGTTGGCAATGGCGATGGTAGTTTTGAAAGCTTAAGTAGCTTTCCGGTGATGATAATGGTGGTAAGTAAGATTGGCTAAAATTAGCATTCTTCCTCCATATTATTTCCACTTATAACAGGAAAATTATTTACTAGTGAAGGTTTTTTTTTTTTTTCAAATTTTTACTATTAAAAAATATAAATATTACTCCTCTTCAGGTCATTTATCCGAGAACATTATTTTTAATATAAAAGTTAATAAGTAAAAAGTAGAGTGAAAAATTAGTCTAGAGTTAATGGAAAGATAACGAGATAACTGATAAGAAAGAAAATTAGCGATCATCAATTATTTGTTAAAATAAAAATAATGAAAATTGTTGATGGTCCTCTTACATGTCACCTGCCACGCATAGTTTGGCCTCGAATTTACTGCTTATACATGGTTATTTTGTTTTCAAGAAAAAAGGGCAAGGAAGAGTTTATTCACCCTAACAGGTTTGTTTCTTTTGCTTTTTTTTTTTCTTTTTATTACTATTTGAATTTTATGTTTTTTTTTTTAAAAAAAGGTAAATTATATGATAATTTTTATATTTTAGTACAAATGTATAAAATATTTTATATTTTATTTATTGTGTAAAACTCTTTTGTGTTAAATTAAAATATATACGTGAAGAAAATGTAGCTCAAAGGTTGAATTCTCCCTCTACATACGAATGTGTGTTTACTTTTACTATAAATATTTTTGAATAAAATAGATAAAAATAATAAAATTAATATTTTTCAATTAGTACGAATGAAGTATAATTTTGGATATATAATATATATACACACATCATGTATATATAAAATTATGATATATTTTGTTCCGCAAAGGATGACTTAGTTGTGTAGGGATGGACTTATGATTGTGAGTTCATTGGCTCTCAAACTCCCAACTTCTCTAGATCATTTGTCACATATGGTTCGTCTAATGTGACTTGTCTTGTCGGGCTTCGTTTGCAAGGTATTAGGTACGGCCAAAGTTTACTCGGTAAACATTGTTGGATAGCGGCTGCGGATTTCTACGTCATAAAAAAAATATATATATAAATAAAAATAATAATAATTGAGTGTCCGCCTCGTAATATGACTCTTATCTTACAAGTCAATTTTCTTACATGGATCGATCTATTGGATTTGTTACGTACAGAAAATTCAAATAATAGTAATCAAATTCTTTTCGACCTTGTAAAAAAGGTTTTTTAAAGAACTACAATTGTTGGTATTTTAGATAATAACTTATACAGTTAAACTATGGTTGTGTTCTTTTATGTTACCTTCAAAAATATCAAATTAAATAATTATTTTTTTTATATTATATTATAAAATTATTTAACATTCAAAATATCACATCAATATTTATTTATTTTACATCAAACAACTATTCAAATTCAACTTTTTACTATTCATAAATTCAAATTTAAAACCCCAAACCCACTAAATTCAAATTTAAAACCCCAAACCCACAAACAAACACACATGTTTAATTGCATATTTATTTTTTTCTAAGGGTGTGTTTGTTTGGGGGTTTGAATTTTGAGGTGGGATTTGAATAGTAAAAATTTTGAATTTGAATAATGTTGATGTGATATTTTGAATGTAAAATTAATTTTTATTATAATATAAAAAATGAAATATAAGTGTTTGATTTGATCTTTTTGAAAAAAAAAAAAAAAGGGATGAATAATAAATATTAAATCTAATCCCCCAAACAAACACACATATCTTACTATTCAATAACTATATTCTCAAAAAATAAAAAATAAAAATGCAATCATATTCTAAATAATTTTTACTTTAAAAGTGTCGAAACCTAACTAATAGAATAAGTGTATATACCCAAAAAGTTGCTACATAAATGCTGAATTTGTAAAGTCAACATGGCATCCTAAACATATTTTTAAACACAATTATTATTATTCCTATATTTTATTTTTTTATTAAATGTTTTAATTCCGACACACTATAAATGCATCCAACACACCTAAATTATTTATCATATGTCTTTATGTAGTAATTTAAAACTATATCTTAAAATTAAAATTAAAAGAAAATAAATATACAATACTGACATCAATATTTGTTTTAATGTTAGCCGTAGATACTGACAACGATAGATTTTTTAATTAATTGAAAAAAGAAAAAGTAGAATAATCAGTTGAGACAAAACGTATACACATGCAATAATGTACTCCCTCTGTCCCATATAATATGGATGTATTATTGTAGACTCGAAAATTTAGGTAAAATATAATTAGTAAGTAATTAAGAAATGTATTAGTAAAAATAATTATTATTTAGTAAAAATAATTATAGATTAAGATTAAGATAAATAAAAAATTTAATTAAAATTAAGAAAATTTAAAAATTTAAAAATTAAAATACGATTAAAGTGCATAATTATATTTCCAAAAATAGAAAGGATAAATTATGTGGGACGGACGAAAATAAAAAATAGGAACAAATTATGTGAGACGGGGGTAGTATTTTAAAATAAATATTAAAGTTTAGAATTTAAATAGGAGTAAAACAAAAGCCAATTATGAATATTTGAAATTTTTTATAAAATATAATCCATCCTTATGTTCCAAAATAAATACCATATTTTTCAATGAAATTTATTAATTTAAAATATATTTAATAAAATTTAACTTATAAGTCATGTACAATCACTCAAAAACAAATATATTTTTACATTTATTTTCAATAAATAAATATTTTATTGATATATAAATTTTAAAATATTTAACCACTTTTGAATTTATAATTATATATATTGGCTAATTATTTAAAACTGTCAATAATACCATTGATATAAAAAAAATATTCCTTCTGTTCCATGTAATATGAGTGTATAATTAGTAAATAATTAATAAATATATTAGTAAAAATAATTATTACTTAGTAAAAATAATTATAGATTAAGATTAATATAACTAAATAATTTAATTAAGATTAAAAAATTTTAAATTTTAAATTTTAAAATATGATTAAAGTGTATAATTAATTTTCCAAAAAAGGAAAGGACAAATTACGTGGAACGAACGAAAATATAAAATAGGAACAAATTATGTGAGACGGAGGGAGTAAAAAATACATATAATCATTTTAAAAATTTGGAAGGGGTATAATAAAATTTTAAAAATAAAATTAAAATGTATAATTATTTTTCAAAAAAAAAAATTGACAAAATAAGTTAGACGAACGAAAATGGAAAGATGGACATAGAAATGGGACAGAGAAAGTAAATAAGTATTAATATAATATTTTGAATATAAAATTAATTTTTAATATAATATAAAAAATAAAAAATAAATATTTAATTTGATATTTTTTTAAAAAAAATAAGATAAATAATATATTTAAAATTCAATCCTCCGACAAACCTGCGCAACTAACACGCTTTGTTGACGGCTGATTTGTCACATCAATGCCCATATCGTAAATAATTATCTACAAAATAATAATAACAATAATAATAATTATTACTTTATTTGTTTGTTTATGAGTTTGGGTTGACGATAACTTTATTTAATTGCAAACTTTAAATTTTTTTTAAAAATAATAAAAATGTCGGTACTTGTTACAATATTTTATTAAAAATATTATTTAATAAAAAATTTATTAATATATAAATACAATCAAAAGTCAAATGTATTTATCTAAATAAATTTTAAAATACTTAGGTAAAATAAATTTACATATGATAAAACATATATTCACATCATTTTAAAAATATAAAATTAAATTTTAATATAATATAAAATTATAAAAACAAAAACTTAATTTAGTTGTAATTTTTTAAAAATAAAAAAATGAAAAAATCACCAACAAACGCACTTACATATATATATTCACAATTATTAGGTTGTAGGGTATGGCCATTAGCCACACCCACCGTAGCCGCCATTGGAAGCCATAAGATCTTGTAGAAGAAATCGGAGGATAGATTGAGAGGAATTCAGAGGCTACTTGAAGAGGATTCAATCAGGTAGAGTTCTGTCAGACTTAGTTCTACAGGAGCAGTTTACAGATTGCCAGGTTTGTTTTGTTTTCTGACGCTTTTTGGAAAATTTTAATCTTCTGTGGAAGTGTTGGTATCGTCTTGGAGTACAAATAGCCATTAATTGTGGAGTCGCTGGAGTTTTAAATAGGAAGTATTTTGATAATTACATGAAGATTGTGTTACTTTTTAGATATGTGGTGGTTGTGAGGTAGATTTTCGTGAATTTGGTAATTTCTAGTAAGGAATTTGTGTTCGCTTTCTTCATAGAAGCTGATGAGTAAACAAATTCAATATGATCATTAGGCATTTTGCTGAAAATGTCTGTTTGTTCGCTCAATCATCGCAACTCTGTCGATCTGATCCCCTCCATTGGATGAAAACGTTGAATTTTCCATTGTTTTTGGCATCAAGATAGTCCTAACTCTTAATTGTGTAAAAAAATTAGACTACAGTAATAGAGTTGGATAGAATGCATTGCTCAGTGCTCTCTTCTGTTCTTATTAGTTGGATAGAATGCATTGCTCAGTGCTCTCTTCTGTTCTTATTAGTTGGATAGAATGCATTGCTCAGTGCTCTCTGCTGTTCTTATTAGTTTGGCAGAAGCTTGTAATTTTGAATATCTCAATTCCTGCATCAAACTGTAGACATGGACACATGATTCAAACTAGTGTTGTTTGTTAATCTACTCTAAATGTGCACAACTTATTGTCGATTACACCTATTTCTAATCCTAAATGTGATGGAACGCCTTGGTGATCCACACATTAACATAGTACCTTTTTCGATACTAAGGAGATGGATTTATTAGTTAGTTCCACAACGGCAGAGTTAAGAAAGGTTTAAGAATGGTGCCGATACGAGTCTGTTTCTTGGAATTAAATGATACAATGTTTCCTAGTCCAAGTGTTTAGATATTCTTAAGAATGATATAAATAGCATTCTATATTATACTCAGGCATTCAATTCTTTTGAAAAATGTAAGCTTTATTTTACCCCTCTTTATGCAATTTTTTCGTTACAAAGTATTCTAATATGAACTTTTGGGATGGATATATAGTCGTATCGAATCAACCAATACGCCCGAATGACTTGCCCTTTTAGAATAATGTATAGAACCCTTTTCCGGCCTAATCCAATATGGAATGAACTCATAAATCATGTTAGCAACGATTCGATCATACATCTTGGTGAGATATTTGGTTTTATCCATTAGGTTTAAGTCTATCGAATCTATATATTATACCTATTTACAGACCTCTATTTTCATTATGAATAATAATGCAATATTTTCCAGTTTCCATATTATTTCTAACACACCTATAAGTTATGCTCATTAGGGTACCCGATTGTAATTCATGGCTTATTTCTTGAAGGTCGCCCAAATTCTTACATCCATATGACGGAAAATCAACGTTTAGATTTGTGATCAATATATATATTTATATGAAGTTAACGATGAGTTTGGGAGAAGAAAAGAGCATAAAGTGGAATGTGTTCGATGACATCAAGAACGCAGCAGCAACGGTAGCTCCCGAAGTACTGATGGCTGAGATCAACTCTGCCATTAGTGCCCTCGAGTACGCTCGCTCTGCCGCCGTCGCCGCTGCTCTAGACATGTCGCGGACGCGGCCCGGCCCCGGCCCTATTCCGGGCTCGAAACCTAAAGCTGTATGAATGAAGGCTAATGCACACCCCCAGGGAGTTTAATTGTGAGTAATTTCTGGGCATCTGCAAAAGTTATATTCATGTTTGGTTTGAACTAGCCACAAAAATTCTAGTGCAAAATATTCAATGGTTTTTTATTACAGTGGAAGAACACAGTACAGTGTCTGGATACAGATTTGCAGAAATATCATGAAATTTGAACAAGGGAAGCTATGGACAGACAGACATTAGGAATTAATAATAATAATAATAATAATAATAATAATAATAATAATAATAATAGTAATTTCTAGGCAAGAAGCGTGGCTTTATACTTTGAGTCACGGAGCCTTTTCTCATCTGACAGTAGCTTTGCGAACCTGCACATTTAATAGCCAATAAATATAATATTAATATAATATAAATACAATAAATAAATTTATAGCATATTATAAGAGTTGTCTTTAATCAAAATGTTTACATAATTATTATTCCCTTCCTGCCATATTTAGTTATATTTGAAGTGCAACTAAATATGGCAGACGAGAGTATCTAATATTCTCTCGTCCCATCCCAAGGTAAAAATAATACTCTCTTCGTCTCTGTCCAGTTAGAAAGTATACATATTTCTATTTTGGAACGTCCATTTAAAAAGTAAATATTTTATTAAATACCTTACTTTTTTTCACAAATACCCTTATTGTACATCACATCATTGATTTTACACCAAAAGACAATGGCAAAAATATCATTTTACTACTTTTAACTACCTATTATAATTAAAATACTATTATTTCTTAGTATAATAATATTTGTACAAAAAATTATATAAATATAATGATATTTTTAATGTTAAGTACAATAACGTAAAAGACAAATGAATACCTTATTATGGAAGAGAGAGAGTATAATGTTTAGCTGTAGATAATGTGCTGATGTGCCAAGTGTTGATTTGACCGAATTAGTATATATTATAAGGTGGTCAGATCAGCTAAGTCAGCATAGTGTTAATTTAACCCGATAACATATGCTATAGAGTGACTAGCCTAGGTTTATAAATATATATATATTTCAGTATATATTGTGTTATAGTATAACTTATGTTGAATTATAATATAATTATATATTGTATTACAAATATACTGAGATATATATAAACATCTATTGATTATCTCTATAGCATGTGTTGATCCGATTCGGATCAGCTGGTGATCCATGCCCGTTACGTTAATGTGAAAAAAAAAAAAATTATTATTGCTAAATAGTCCTAAAAATTAAGGTGTGCATATATAAAGCTTATATATATATATATATATGTAATACCTTTTGAGGGCATCAGCATTAGATCCACCATTGAGAGTGGGCTCAGAAAGGCCAGTGTCCAAATTGACTCTGGACATGGGCTTCTTCAATAAATTCTCACCAGTCTGTACTAACTTCTCCAGATTTGCCTTCGTGGCAACATCCACTGATGCCACCTCTCCCCTCAGGCAGTCGTCCTACTCAGTACAAAGCATTAATTATGTCATTATTACACATTAATAACCTAACTCCATACAACGTCGTTAGTTACAAAAAATCAATGCTACATTTAAATAGATCCACGTCGTTAGTTACAAAAAAATTTTAAAATTTAAAACTTAGAAAAAGAAATACTACTGTTGCCTCCATCCCATATAATTTGTTATTTTTTTAAAAAATATAATTATACATTTTAATCATATTTTAAAATTTAAAATTTTTTATTTTAATTAAATTATTTATCTTAATTTTAATGTATAATTATTTTTATTAATATATTTTTTAATTATTTACTAATTACTCAATACCTAAAACTCGTACATAATAAGTGGACAATTTAAATAGAACAAAAAAGAGTACTTAATATGAGATTTTTTTTAAAAAAACAAAAAAAAACTTATTGTTAATAAATATTATAAAAAAAAACCCCTCTCAAAAAAAAAAAAAAAAAAACTTATTACTAATAAATATTATGAAAAAAAATCCCTCCCTCAAAACAAAAAAAACTTATTGTTAATATATACTTATTATAAGAAAATCTCAAAATATCTATATAAATATAGTTTTTGTTTTAAATAAAAAACAAATATTTAATATGATATATATTTTAAAAAATGTATGGTAAAAAATGAGTGGCTCACTTGAATCCGCAGATAGTTTTGCTGAGAATGCAGAGCCTGAAACACAACGGACAAATGGTAATCCACCATGTCGGCGCTGGCCTGCGTGAAGACGTCCACCAGAGGGGCGGAGCCGCCGTGGAGGAGCCACCCCAGAACGCCCCACTTCGCCGCCGCCCGCGCGCTGTACCGCTTCTCCGCCTTCGCCGATCCCGTCCCCACCGAGATCACCAGAAACCGCCCGTAGTCCGTCGCCTTGATCGGAAAGAAGTCAGGGTTCCGGCCGTGTATCTGTTTCGTCACTTGGGAGATCGCCACCAGCGCCGGATTGTTCGCCGCCACGCCGCCGTCGATCAGGTTGAACTCCCGAGGGGCGGCGCCGCCGCCGGATTCCGTCTTGAAGTAGTGCGCCGGGAGGAACGTCGGCGCCGCCGACGTCGCTATGCATATGTCCGACAAGCGAGCGTCCAAGCTCGACGATTCTTTCGCCTGTATTTATTTAATTGATTAATTAATTAATTCTGAAATGTCATAACATGTATGACTAAATTGGATTGCACCATTTTGATTTGATTTGAATTTTTATCTTTTTGTGTTTGAACAAATTTTTCTTTTTGAAACTAAGTAAATTGGTTGTAATTTATTTGTGATTTGAAATAACTGGAGTACATTATTTTTTCTTATAATTAAAAAAAAAATGAATGAGAATAGATAAGTATTTCTTTTTTCTAAATAAATAAGTAATTAATTATATATTAAAATTAAAATTAATAAATAGTTTGTCTAAAATATTAAAAAATTATAAATTATGAATTTTAAAATGTGATTAAAGTGTATAATTATATTTTAAAAAAAAAGAATAATCAAATCATATAAACGGACAAAAATAGAAAGAGTTAAGACAAATTATGTGTGGGATGAAGGAAGTATATTTTACTGTATATTCAAAAATATTGTACAGAATCTCCTAGAAAACATATATAAATATATACTTCCTCCATCCAATTTAATTGTAGTAAACAGTTAAAACAGTGTAATAATAATTTTGTCCTTGTTAATAATGCGACGGTAAAGTAAAAATATTAATAAAAAAATAAAACATTTTTAAATATAATAACTTTATAATTAGACAATCTAAAATAAAAAATATATATTTTTTGAGTGCACAGAAATATAACATTTTATAAAATACAAAAAAATCTCATAAAACCTTTCCAAATCATATTTGAGTTATAAACAATTTTATTTTTTTAATAAATGAGTTATGATATGTAGTAATATATATATATATAAAGTATAAAATATTATACTCTCTCCGTTTCAAAAAAATAGTTTCATTTTGCTATTTTTGTCCGTTTCAAAATAATAATATTATTTTTACAATAATTACATAAAATAATAAGGATATTTTTGTAATCTCCATATATGAAAATTTAAGGATGGTACGGACTACGGACCTCAAAGGTAGAGAAAATGGTGGGCTGCAAATGGCGGATGTCGAAAGTTGGGATGACAACGTTAGTCAACGCCTGATGCAATAAAGTCTCCCCTAGCTTCTCTCGGACAACCTGCTGCAGATATTTCCCGTCGTACGCCGGCCCCCCTATCACCGCTAATTTCAACGCCTTCCTCATCAGCCCACACACGCGTCTGCATTAATTTATTAATTCATTCATTTATGGCTAATTAATTCATTCTTAATTACAAATTAATTAATTAATTCATTCATTCATTCATTAATGATGCATACGAATGCTGCGGAAAGATGCGGGGGCAATTCTCGAGATAAAATGGCTTGATGTCCTTAGCCGCAAAGAGTGGCCGGCCGTTGCTGTCCGGCGCCGTCAGCATCGCCGTCACAAGCCCGCCGGTGCTCGTTCCGGCGATCACGTCAAAATAGTCCGCCAGCCGAGCTTCTTTCCCGTCCAGCTTCTATATATATATATATATATATATTAATTAATTATAATCAGTTTGTTCATTCAATATTTTTAGATGAACTGATTTTTTTACTTTTTATTTTTTGTTTTTATGTATAGTATGGTATGAAAACTATTTTGGTGATGTAAAGAATAATATTTTGTATCAAATGAAAGATTTTTAATGAGTGAATAATGTATATATTATATTAATATATATGTATATTTGTATTTTTTAATATTTATGAGAAATTAGTTTATTGAAAAATACTAAGTGAACAGACTTAGTCTCTTTTCAAATTAAATTATCTTATGCTTCAATTTAATTATTACTTTCATTTGCTTCCATAATATTTAGCCCACTTTCGACTAGACACTAAAATTAAAGAAAATGAAATATTGAAAAAGTAAAAGAAGTATGAAAAAACAAATAGTTGAGAATATTTGTTGTAAATAAGTGTTGAACGAAAAATAATAATTAAACATGAATTTTTTATGTTTCCAAATATAATAATCATATAAATTTAATGGATTGACAAAAAATAAAAGTAAAAATAAATTTGATGGATAGAAGTACTAATTTTGATATAATATCTGGTAAGAATAAACATAGACTTTTAATTTTTATTGAAAATTAATAGATAATGATATTTTCAAATTGAAACATAACCAAACAAACCCTTTGATTTAAAATCCATCTCCAAATACCTTATTTAACTACACAATGAATTTTAATAAAAAATACTTAATTAAAAAAAATTATAAATTACTGTATATTTTTTTAAAAATGAATGTATAGTAATATTTTTTTTTAAAAAAAAACAACATATTATGTAAATTATGTAAGACAAATCGAAATAAATTAAGTGGACAACTTACATGGAACAAATTAAAATAAAAAAAAATGAATAATTTACGTAGAGTTAATTTATTTAAAATTCACCTTCAATTTATTTATTTATTTATTTTTAAATAGTGTAGTTGTAAGATTTTGAACCTACGATGTACTCTCTCCATCTTATATATATTTTTCTATTTTTTATTTTTGTTTGTTCTATAATTTGTCATTTCAGAAATATAATTATACACTTTAATCACATTTTAAATTTTAAATTTTATAATTTTTTTAATATTAATTAAATTATTTATTTATCTTAATCTTAATTTATAATTATTTTTATTAATATATTTGTTAATTATTTATTAATTATATTTTACCTAAATTCTTGTTTTAGAATACTGAAACACCCTTATTACATACAAGTCACACGTTTACCCTCACACACAATTATGTCATTTCTTACCGGACCACGTCAAATTTTATTTTATTTTATTATTTTTCTATAAAAAAAAAAAAAAAAAAAAAAAATCCTCCTTATGAGTTTAGAGATAGAGAGAGAGAGACCTGGAGCTGCGCTTCGAGGAATTCTAGAATGACAGCTGGAATAATCCCTCGAATACCGCCGCCGTCGATGCTCAGAATTGTGACCGTACTTCCATGGCTGGTCGGAGAATGTACTTGAACTTGAACACCCTCCTTAGCCGTTAATGCTGCTGCTGACGTCATCGACGGCGTTAATGAAGAAAATCCTGTCTTCTCCATACTTATAATAACAATAATATTCTTAAAAAGATCGAAATTAATAGCACTAATTATATCTTAATTACGCTATGCGTGTGTATGTGTTTGTGATTCATGCGGGCACCATTTTGGCATCTATTTATAGCCGTAGCCCGTACAGGTCTTTACCCCTCCTCCCCCGCCCCGCCCCCCCACCCGCACGTGACTTGTCAAAACAAATTGGGGCTTTGTCACGTGTAGAATTTTATTTTTAAATATTATAATTATTCTAAAGTTTGATTTTGGATCTGCTAATTATGACCGATTAGTTAGTAATTAACTGTCGGCTTTCATGCAATTAATGTTGTCGTGGAAGCATATACACATATATATCTGGCGGCGAGCTTATCTAGATTAATCAATATTGTACACAGTGGCGGAATTAAAGGGGTTAATTTTTTTAAATTTAAAATAATACTGTCATACTCCCTCCCTTTCGGTTTATAACGTTTCTAAAATTTTACGGTAGATTAAAAAATAATATTATTTTATTAATTAGTAAAATTAAAGTGTATGAGAAATTTTGATATTTTTGTTTTTACTTTTATGTTAAAAATAGGAAATGATATGTTTAATAGTATATTTGTAATTTAGGTAAAAATTAAGGGTATACCATTAAAAAATAAATGTATGTTCTGTTTTTTTTATAATAACAAGTATGTTGTATAAGAGTATGTCATGTGTTAAAATCAACTGTTGTGTGTATTATATGAGACCATAATATATGTTGTTAGTTCATGCGTTGTATTTGTATTAAATTAACATATACAATATGTTGTCTGTAACAATGTTGTGTGCTGTCAGACAGCAAACGATGTGATATTGAGACTATAACATGTGTTTTTTTTGTTCGTGGAATGTATTTGTATTATAGTAACATGTACAATGTGTTGTATGTAGTAATACAATGTGCTGTCAAGTAACACACCGTGTATTGTTTAAAATCGAGCACTGTAGTCACCGCCAAAGTGGATATTAATAAAAGACAAAAATGTCATCGTAAGTATATTTGTATAAAAAGTAATGATATTTATATTAAAACAATATATATAGTTTTTATAACGATATGATTATTTATAAAAATAAGACTATTGTTTTAGGACAAATGAAAATTTAAAAAATTAGACTATAATTTTGGGACAAGGGAGTACATGTATATCATATGAAATGATAATATATGACAATAGTCCACAACAATTTATATTTGTATAAAAGCTACTCCCTTGGATTGAAATACTTATTTAAATTTTTGTAGTTAAAAAAAAATAATATTTTATTAATCAGTAAAAATATATAAAATAATATTGATATTTTTGTTAGGGGTGAGAATAGGCCAGACGGCCTACCAGGTCCAAGGGCCTACAGCATGGTCTACATGAGGCCTGGCTCAGTCTGACCTATTTATTCAAATAATATTTTAAAGCCTATTTAATTAATTAGAATAGACTTAGGCTTTACGAAAAACCTTTTAGACTTATCGACCTATTTATATATATAATTTTAATTTAATATATAAAATTATTCTATATTTATATTTATTTTTTTAAAAAAAATTAATTTAGTGATAATAACCAAATATAAAATTGATTAATTGTAACTATAATTACATATATACAAAAATAATAATTGCATTTATATTTTTTTACTAATATTATATTTTAAAAAATAAAAAATTAATTATTATATAGGCTCATAGGCTTAAAAATAAGCCAGACTCAGGTTGTATAATTTTTTTCCTGGCCTGGCCTGGCCTATTTCCAACCGTAATTTTTGTTCTATGTACTTTATGTATATATATAATTATATATTTATAATTTATATAAAAATAAAAAATACTAATTTTTCATACTAATATATGATTATTTTATTATAATAGGAAATAAATTTTCAATGTATATATATTGCATGCATAATATTCCACGGCCACCACCGTATAGACTTTGCAGTTGTAGTGTTACTTTTCAACACATTTAATTATGTATTTGTGTATATCATCTGGGAGTGTTCTTTCTTTTATATATATATATATATATATATATAAATAATCACATTCAATAATTATATATTTTTTTAAAAAATAAAATAAAATAGACATTTTCCTCCACCAAGTGAACACACTTTAAAGGTGTTGATAATGCAGTTATTATTATATTCAATATATATATATATATTTTTTATGACGTGGAAACCCGCAGCCGCTACTCGATAGTGCGCACTGAGTAAACCTCCGGTCGAACTTAATACTCTGTAAATCAGGCCCGACGGAAAAATCACACTAGGCAAACCATATGTGTCAGATAACTTATATTCAACATATTTTAAATTAATTATTAATTGTTTGATCAATATTTCGTCATCAGATACCTTTTAATATACTATTCATTGAATTTGAACAACTATGTATTGTTGTTACCAAAACGACTATTGTCTCATATCGAAACGTTATTTTATATTACTCCGACGTGCTTTAATTGATTTAGCAATACTTTTATTTTCTTTCTATTTTCGTAATTGATTATGTTTCTTTACTATGCAATTTATATATTTGTATATATATATATATATATTTCAATAAAAATACATTATGTTATTGTATTTAACAAAACAACACATTCAAATTACATTTTAAAATTAAATTTCAAACCAAAGTTGGTAGTATACTTTCAACTTTAAAATATATATATATATATATATATTAAATCATATGAGTTTTACCTATTTTCAATATATATATATATACATTCAAGTTTTCTTGTTTATTTGTAAAATTAATTTATATTAATCAAAAATAATTTTTTTTATTTTTTTATTTGTATTATATAAAGTTTTATTTGTTTACGAAATAATATACATATTGTATATATTTTATTAAAATAATTAAATACAACTAATCTTTTTAAAATTATATACGATGAAATTTTAGGTGATTAAATTTTTAGATTTCACTAAATTTACATTAATTGCATGCAAACTTTATGATAATTATATTTACATATTATATATATTTTTTTTATATATAAAATTCCTTCTAAAATGAAAAAATAAAATAAAAATTAATAAATTGAGAACATTAATTGTCGATATATATTTTTCGGCCCCAATTGTGTCTCAATTCCGCGTCGTATTTATTATTTATATATATTCTTAGGCCCCATTGTGTCTAAAATTTCATGTCGTATTTATAGGAAATTAAATATATATTTGACTATATATGGGTCGATTTGATGCATGTGAATATCAATATTGTCTACTTTCAACCATCTTAAAATCTTCTATAATTTTCAAAATAAACAAACACTTTCTTGTACCTTCAAATTCATTTCCCGACATTTATGAAGTTCAAAGCATGCGGGCCTTATTCGATAATGCGATAAAATTTTGATTTTTCGCGAAGAAATTAGTATTTTTTGGATTAAATTAATTATTGCAAATCAAAAGCCTTTGCGTATAGGCTATGGCAAAATGAATAAATACAAAATTTGTTTTTAATATAATATAAAAAAAAATACAAAATAAATATTTGATTTGATAATCTTCGAAAGAATTTATAAATAATAAAAATTAAATCAAATTACTAAACAAACACACCCTTATAATAATTTTAAGCATGCGTCAAAATTTAGGTATTATTTATTTACTACTTTGTAATTTGTGATGTGCACGAATTATTTTTATATTAAATTATATAATAATTTAATTTTTAAATAAATAATAGTTATAGTTTTCTTAATAAAAAAAAATTTAAAATAAGAATAGCAAAATATAGTAAATAAATTTTAACATACATGTTTTTGGAAATTTTGACATTAATCATTAATAGTAATTTAAAATCATAAATTAAATATATTTTTAATTTATAAAATATCACGTTAAATCCTCTACTTTTTATATACTTTTTTTTCCAAAATTTATAAATTTTCTATCTAAACAATTTTTTTTTTTTAAAAAAAATATATGCAGATTATTATATGTGAATATTTAGTATTTATTTATACATAAGTTCATTTGCGTATAAATTTAAATGGCTGCTTTTAATTATTTTTAAATTAATTTAAAATATGTTTACACGTTGTGATCCAGTTTGCCACGTGTAAACATATTAGACCTATTAGAGAATGAATTTATTGTTTAATTTGACACGTGAGGAAATAGTTTAATTAGTATTGTGGAATGATTGTATTTAATTATCCTTATGTACAAAAATACTATAAATAATTTGTGTCTTCTACGTATGTACAATCATTTTTTTAATTTAGTCACCAAATTACTTGGTTAGTAAGTTAACTATGCATATATTTTATGTTCTGTGACTTTGATTAATTATAATTTTTTATTTTTATTTTTTTAATAATGTGACAATCGCAACCGCTACTCTTGAAAATTAGACTCGACAATTTTATCTCGAAGAATATTGCAATATATCCTTTTCACCCAAATTTAATATTTTTACTATATATTCCAATAAAAACATATTTCATCTGTCCGGGTCAGGGTCACATGACCACTTTGGTTAGGTACACAATATTTTAGGTAATATGGATCAATAACTTATTAATATTATTTTTTTATATGATTAATGTGGTTGATATTTTAAATATTAGATAAAAATATATACAATATGAGTATCAATTTTTGTAGATAATGAAATTTTATATAATACAAATGAATAATATATATTTATTTAATATAATTAACTTAAAATAATTTTTTTAAAAAATAAGAATTTTAAAATATAAATAAAAATATTTGTTTATTAAGGAGTGATAGAAATAAAGAGGTTTTGAGTGGATTCCATATATATAAAGTTATAAATTTAATTAAATTAATTTATATTTATTAAGATTGTTTAAAATTAATAAATTTACAATAAAAATGAGTTTTATGGGACGGACAAAAAAGAAAAATAAATTACGGATGGAATATTATTTTCTAACAAAAAAAAAATGTTTAATTTTTTATATAATATTTAAATGGAAAATATGAATTTTGAATATGATGGTTTTTAGAAGAAAAAAGAAATGAATAATGTGAAAATAAGTTTCAAAACATAACATAAGTTTTTTT